CTGGGACAGTCAGGCCCAGGCCACACTTGACCTCCCAGCCCCAGAGGCCAGCTCAGAAGGCAATGCAGATCTCTCATGGCGTAATGAGTGACGCCAAGCAATGCTTTTCCAGGGGCTGGCCTGCTGCATGTCACATTCTATTATTCCAATACTGGGTAATAATTATCTTCTTTAACCTGTGTCTGTTGTGATGAGCTCCGCCAGAGGTGAGTTGTTGGTATTACCTGAATTACAACATGAAGAGATGTTTTTTTTCTGGATGGCTGAGGAAGTTTTTGGCATGCAAGACTTTGTAATGCACCCCCATCTTTGAACCCCAGGATTGCTGGCCCAGGAGTCATGGGATAAAAGGAGAATGTATGCCTTGATCATGGGAGAAGAGGCAGTGGCCAGAAGGGAAAGGTTTCTTTTCACACACAGACGTTTGGAAGTCTCCCTTGATGAACTCTTTAGATCCTGCCCTGGAGACAGGATGAAATAATGCAGTCCCAGAAGGATTCACAAAACCAGCCTCTAGAGCAGACTCACTAGTGGCCGACCCTTAGTGTTGCCAAACTAGGGCAGCATAGAGAAATAGCACCAAAGAGCTGAGGTCAGGAAGGAACACAGAACACAGGAGAGGAGTGGAAAACTTGGCAAAGACAAAGGGGAGCCCAGGCTCCAGGGAAACTTGAAGGCAACTGCATTTAGTTCACCTCAGCAGATTAGAACCAATGAAGAGGTCAAATGATGTGTGTGAAAGCCACAAAACTGTCCCTGTTAGTGCAGTAGCCTCCCTGTCAGAGCCTAGGAAAGTGGCCTGACCTAGTGATGGAGAGGCACAGTTCATGTCCCAGCTTCACTCTGGGACCGAAGACTGCTGTTTATTGACACAACCTTGTAGATCAGTTTTTAATGTTAACTGTGTGGGACAAGCAGCTCAGCAGAGTGGTTAATGTTGTGGGTTCTGGAGCTAAAAATTTTGTCAGTGGTTTTTGGCCCTAGGCAAGCCATGTCCCTCATAAAGTGTTTGTTAAAGCATGAACCACTCAGAATAGACTTAAGCATGTAATACACACTCGGCTATTAACTCTTATTTATGTTACTTTAATAAAAGGTAAAATGTAATTACAAATATAAGATGGAAAACAGGCAAAAATAAATGTAGCTGTTATGAATCTCAAACTACAAGCTCAGATGAGCAGAAATGAAAACTATTTTCCTCTATAATTTCAAGCTGTTCTGCCCAGATGGTGGAAGAATTAACTCCTGATTCTTCCAGCTTCCGTTCTTTTTCCTGAGGTGGTGTCAAATACCAAGGCATTTGGTGGAGGGAAGCAGCCTCTGGTCCTCTGCCCACACAGCCTGCGCCCTCGATGTTCCTGTGCCAGATGTGACCACAAGAATCTGCCCAGCCTCCCCACAGCAGCCCTGCCTCTCCACAGTCCTTAATGGCTCCCAGTCTGCCCTCCTGAACTCAGAGCTGCCCCAGCCACGTCTTCCCCACCTGCCCGCTCTTCCCTGTCTTCTCCGAGATTCCTGGAAGATGTCAGGCCTTTGAACAAAAAGCCAGACTGCTCTCCGCTTCACTTCCAACCTGTCACAACCCTGCAGAAGCCAAGGCATCTTCCTCAGAGAGAGCTCTGTTTGAGAGGAAGCAAAGGAAGAAAAAATACTAGGGAAAAGCACAACTGATGATTACTTCAGAAACATCCTGTTTCAAAAGTTTTAAGAAGGAAGGGACCAGACATGGTGACATGCTTCTGTAATCTGAGCAACTTGAGAGTCTGAGGCAAGCAGATCAAAAGTTCAAGGCCAGCCTCAGCAATGTAGCAAGACCCAAGGTAACAATGAAAAATTAAAAGGACCAGGGATATAACTCAGTGGAAAAACACCTGGGTTCAATATCCAATACTGCCCCCCACAAAACAATCCTGGCTTTGAACTGCTGGGAAGGTGCAATAAAGATCAAGTTGTGTATTGTCATATCTTCCACACAAGCCACAAAGAAAACTCACCCCAGTATCTTGGAGAGAATGGGCTGAACTCAAGGAATGTCTCATACAGAAGCCTTCCCTGAGGGCTGAGCCAGGCTGGGCAGGGTCCACCTACAGTGACCTACTCAGTCCTCTCAAGCACAGTGTGAAGCAGACAGCACCCTCCCTGCTGAGATCGAGCATCTTTGAGAGGTTAAGTTGCTTGGCCTGTGGATGTGCAGCTCTGCCTGGAGTGGTGGCGATTTCTAACATTCATGGCCTAACTCTACACACTGAGCCCAAGCCTGTTTCACCACAGTAGGCCTCAGACTGTGGCTGCAAGGATTTCACCAAGAAGTGTCTGGGCAAGAGGTAGTCAGTGTCATTTTGCCTGTACTGTGGGCCACGAGGTAGGGAGGCAGCAATGCCAACCTGATGACATAGGGCTTGCTTACATTGTTTGGCTTAGGACCTTTTGTGTTTCTGGAGTTAAAATTCTGGAGAATGTTCAGGAATAGACAAGAAGTTCTGAGACCATGAGCCCTCAGGCCAAAAGTACTCACCTGGCTCAGACCTGCTGTTACCATCACAAACATAGAATATTCTAGTGAGGACCATTGAGGACCAGGTGGTATTAAACAGGAATGAGCAAGTCAATGGCGAGATTAAGAAAGAGGAGCCAAAATAGACTGTTTGTAAGAACTCATTTTCTGATAGAAGTGACATTTTGAAATGGTCAGGCAAGAGCCTGGTTAATAAATGGTTTGCTGGCGTCTGGCATTCCACCTAACATGCTCTGCAGCTGTTTTACGCCACCCCCAAATAAGGGCACTTACTAAGCTCTCCATAGAGCTTATGGAGAAACCTCCTATTTTATCTCATTTGAATCTTACACAGTGAAAACTTACTGAAGGAACAATATGGCTTCCAAGATTGAAATTTCAAAACTGAGAATGTTGGCGGGTCATTGGCTTCCTGCCATAACTTTAAAACCCATCAGTAAGTTCTGAGCTCTTCTTGTGCACTTTGTGCAGGTGGAGATCAAAAGAGAATCTTCCTCTAGGTCTTAGAGTCAACCAGTGAAGACCCTCAGGGCTGCTGAGAGCCTGGCTGTGAGTGACTGCCCTCCTGTGACGGGCTTGGAGAAGGAAGCACTCAGGCTGAAACAGCTTCCTGGAGCCAGGTGGTGCAAAGTAGGCTGGATCCCAGCAGGTAGAAAGAGTGTCCAGAAGGGAGGTTGAGGCCAGCAGCTCAAGAGATGCCCCAGATGCCCCGCACCTACATGGCTGGGACATGCTGAGGTGGGTCATCTCTGTCCAGGTCTCAACCCCGACATCTGGGCTCAGTAGTTCAAGAAATGGTAACAGCAGGTCTGAGCCAGGTGAGTACTTTTGGCCTGACCAGACCAGAACAGTGGGGCAACTGGTCTGGAGGCATCTGTGAAGGCCAGTTAATGGGCCACAGGTTAAGGATGAGATGAGTTTGCCCAAGGGCCAAATTGGTTTATGGCCATCACCACAGGATTAAAAATGCTGAATCTCGGGGCTGGGGATGTGGCTCAAGTGGTAGCGTGCTCGCCTGGCATGCGTGCGGCCCAGGTTCGATCCTCAGCACCACATACAAAACAAAAGATGTTGTGTCCGCTGAAAACTAAAAAAAAAATAAATATTAAAAAATTCTCTCTCTCTAAAAAAAAAAAAATGCTGAATCTAGAACACACAGGCCAAGCCTCAGAGAGGGGACCCAGGACAGGGCTGTCTCTTTAATCCTCACCACATCTGAATAAAACAGTCCTCAGACCAGGTGTGGGCCAGCCCCAGATTCATGCTCATAGCACACAAAGCTTTCTGACCCCTGGAAAAAGTCACCTGTCACTGCATATATAGCCTAGTCAGCATGCTTTCGTAAAAGAACACACACAGGACAGGGATTTGAAGCAACACCTGGTGGGAAGAGAAAACAGAAGTGGAGGCCAGAAGGGGTCTCTCATTGCCCCCAATCCTCCCTTGTGGCCAAGGGCCAGCATGTTCATGTCACTTCCAAACGACGACAAAGGTATGCTGGTGAGGCACGAGGCAGGGAAAGGCAAGGGGGAAACAGGGCCAGATCATGGAGGGCCTTCGAATTTTTGGCTCTGGATGATATAGGGTCTGAGCTAGGAAGGGCAGTGGCCTGTGTGACATGGGTTCTCAAGGGTCACACTGGCTACTGCAAAGAGAGCTTGCTATCGGGAGGCCACTGGAGATGCAGGGAGACGGGCTAATTCTATATTACTTGTGCTCATCCGGGCAGATGGCTTGAGTTAGCTATTTGATCAGGATGGGAAGGTGAGTGTCCTGGCATGTTGGAGACAAATGAGAAGAGCCACAGGTGACAATGCTTTGGGTCCAATCAGCTGGAAGCTGGGTGCCCTGCACTGTAAAGAAAGCAGCAGAAGGGGTGGAGCTCCAAGTGGGACAGGTTAAGTTCGGCCCTTGGGCATCCAGAGACTGCGCCAGGGCTGAGGAGCTCAGGAGGGTGAGCTGGGCAGCAGATTTAAATGTGGACAGTGGCAAACAGAGCATCCAGGGGCCACCTCAGATGTGTAATGGCCCAGAAGCCCTTGGGCCACTGGGCCTGGCTCCTTGGTGGTCTCCCCACTGGCTTTCCTGCTTTCCCTACCCCTTATCTAGGCAGGTCAGAGCCTTGTTCATCATCAATAGCCAGGTGTCCCCTGTCCCCAAGAAAGAGCTACTGCTCAGCATCCCCTGTAGCACCCCTCTGCCCTCTCCCTGAGGGTCTGGCATAGCCAGCATCTGTGCCATTACAGGATCTGAACCACCCCACCCCTCTCATGGAAGCACAGTTCTTGGGGACAAAGGAAGCTCTGTCACTGTCACTTTAAGGGGGGAACCCATCACCCAGTGTTAACCACCTCTGGAGGAAGGCATCGGAGAAGGAAGTGGGGCTGGGCTCTGAGGAGCCCCTGTCACCCAGGCTGCTGACAACATGAAAACTTCTTTCAATGAGAAGAGAATCACCTGGGTCATCCCGGCAGCCCCCAGAGCCTGGGCAGCCAGGGACTCATGGCTGGGCCCACGCCTCTGGTCCTGCTCTGGGCACTGCTGACCCTCTGCATCTCTGCAGGTGAGTGGGAAAGCCAGAGAGATACAGAGGCCATGGGGCAGGGACCATGGTCAGCAATCAGTCCACTGATCTTCCTGTCCCTATTCCTCAGGGACCTCCGAGGTGTGGGTGCAAGTCCAGATGGAGGCCACTGAGCTCCCAACCTTCACTGTCCGCTGTGGGTTCCTTGGGTCTGGCTCCATCTCCCTGGTGACTGTGAGCTGTGGGGGGCCTGATGGTGCTGGAGGAACCAGTCTGGCTGTGTTGCACCCAGAATTTGGAACCAGGTATTGGGCCCCTGTCCGCCAGGCCCACTGGGAAACCAAAAGCAGCATCTCCCTCACTCTGGAAGGGTCAGCGGCCAGAAGCCCTTGGGCCAACACCACTTTCTGCTGCAAGTTCGTTTCCTTCCCCAGTGGCTCCCAGGAAGCCTGTGGAGACAAAGGTGGGACTGGGGAGAGGCCTGTGGCACAGGGAGGGCCTAGGCACTGGCTGCCCATCTGACACCCCTGTCTCCAGGACTCCCGGCTCCCTCTCCAGCCCCCATTCTGCGGGCAGACTTGGCCGGGATCTTTGGAGCCTCAGGGATCCTCCTGTGTGGCTGCATCTTCGTCCTACACTTCCTACATCGGCAGAGGCATCGGTGAGAACCAGCCCAGGCTGTGTCCCTGCATCACTGGGATAGTGACACTCTGCCTCTGACCCCTCTTCTCCCTCCCAGGTCTGTCGCTCAGCTTCAGGCACCTCTCTCCAGCGCCTGGGCCCAGAGGAGAACTCAGGTGAGACTTGGGGGAAGCTCAGGTGAGACTTGGGAGGAGAGGCTGGAGTTAGGCCTGTGAATGGAACCCTATTTGACCCTCCTTCCATTGTCCACAGGCCACCAGCCAAACCTCCCTGAGCAGTCTCCACCTTCCCGATACCCCCACCACTCTCTGCCCAGCAGCTCCGAACATGGGGCACCCCCACCAGCGACTGTCCCAGTGGGCATTGCTCCCCATTCACACTGCATGCCAAACCCAGGTACCTGTCACCCGTGGGTCCCTGCTGGCCACTCCACACAGCAGTTTTATCTCTGTTGAGAATGGACTCTATGCTTGGGCAGGAGAGAGGCCTCCCTGCACTGGCCCCAACCTCAGCCCTTCCCCTGACTCTTTGGGGCCCAGGGTCATGGAGGGGTACTCGGGAGTTTGATGAGAGAGGTTCCAGGTCAGTTTGGTCTCCCTTCCCAGGCCTCGGGGACCCCTTTCTGCTGCGTATCTGTGTCCCAGGCACCCGCTGTTTTTTCCACATCATGTTTTATTCTTAACCTTCTAATAAGTGTCTCACAAACCTAGCCAGGGCCCCCCTCGATGCGGATGTGGTCAGTGTGTGTGCACATGTGGGCACAGGTGTGGGTATGTGTAGTGACAAAGTCCCACTCCAGGTTACTTCCTGTTTTGTACATGTCACCTTCAGGTGATGTCAGTAACTGTCAATAAAGCGGTTCCTCTGACTTGGTCTTGGCTGGCCTCTTCTTATTTGGGGGGCTAAGGGATTAGAGGTACTTTCAACCTCTGGGAGGTAGAAGCCACAAGGGGACAGTGGCTCAGCATGGAGGCTGGAGGGGTCTCCTGGCTTGCGGGCCTTGCTGAGATAAGAGAATGAGGGTCTGGGAAGATGGATTGGGGGTTTGTGACCCCCTGGATGGACCAACTCAAGCCCCACCACACTGGCTGCTCTCTAGGGCAGAAGCAGGAATTTCTGGGCTTCAACCTGAACCAGGTCTCTATGGTCTGACCTGCCTCCCTAGGTCAGATGCCCCGGGTGGCCTGCAGGGGGACCCTGGTGCCTTCTTCCACTGAGCTGAACTTCAGAGGCAGGGGAGGGGGAATGTTTGGGGAGACCTACCTCAGCTCCCCACAGTCACATCCTCCAGGTCCTCCCCTATTACCAGGGCACCAGGCACTGCTCCCGAGTGGCCACTTGGGCAGGCAGACAGGCCTTCACAGATGCAGAGACTGAACACAAGCTCAGCTACCCTTGAACTGTCCCTCCCAGGGGCCAGCCTGGGCCTCCTCAGGCCTTCACAATGGTGAGAGTGCTCTGTAAGCTGCAAGTCTCCCAGGAGCATGACAGTTTCCCTATGGCAAGGGGCAGTATGTCCCTGAACCCCCAGCCAGGGTGAATGCTAGAGGGGGCACCTGCACAGGATCCCATCCTTGGAGCTGCTCAGTAGGATTGGGGTCCCAGGCAGTGCTGGCTGCCTGTCCTCTCTCTGCTCAGGGAGGCCTGCCCAGAGGCTGAGTCCAGCCATAGCCTCTTCCAGGAGGCCAGCTCCCTGCTCAGGCTTGCTCTGATGTGCCCCTCCCTGGACCAAGCCCTATCTAGCCCCTGGCCCCACACTGCTGGGAAGTAGGTGGTCAGGTTTGCCCTACTCCACAGGATGTTATCTTTTCCTTCAGGAAGCCCTCAGCACTGGCCCAGACAGTTCCGTGGCCCCTCCAGGGCTGGGAGTTCAAGGGAGAGAGGAAAGGGCTACAGAAGAGGTCCCTCACAGGTCCCTAAGAGGGAGGACCTGGTAGGGAGATATCTAGCGGGGAGGGAGTCAGTTAGGGCCCAGCAGCCCTGAACCTTGTCCAAACCTGGGGCAGGAGTGTGGGGCCATTATAGGGCTTGTGGGGTCTCACAGGAAGCTTGGGTCTCACACTTATCGCTCTTGAAGTAGATAAAAAGGGTTGAGGACACCTAAGGAGCGTGAATACTGCCAACAGCCTAGTCCCAAGCACCAGAATGCTTTGCTCTCCAAGATAGAAGTGAGAGGGGAACTCTGAGGGCTTCCCCAGCCCATGGAGTCAGGGAGAACCCCCTGGCCTGGGAATGGCTTCCACCAACTCAAGGCCATAAGCAGCCTGAACCCCATGGTGCTCAGAGCTGAACACCTGGGGACCCAGGAAGTCTTCCCATAGCCAGTGGCTCCCCACTCCCCATCCCAAGTGCCAGAGTCAGCAGCACACAGAAGGGCCCCTGAGAGCTGAATGGTGCATTCATGGTGCTCTGGGACAAGCTGGACTACAGACCCAGGGTCAGCAGTCCACAGATCCCTTTTGCTGAGCCCTGTCCATTCAGTATATGAGGGCTGAAAGGTGACCCACCCAAAGGGATAGAACTGAGGCTAAGACCTCCACTTCCTCCCTCCAGCTCCCCAGGTGTCCAGGAGAACGCCTACCTTCCTGCCATACCCATAAAGTTTCAGCCTGACCAGACCTGGGTTTAGATCCCTGGTCACTCCCACTCGGTGACCTGAGTGGCTCAGCTAACCTCAGGAGACACTTGTCACTCTTAAAGTAGATAAAAAGGGTTGAGGAGGCCTAAGGGGCGTGAGGACTGCCAGCAGCCAACTCTCAAGCACCAGACACTCTGCCTGGACTGGCTTCATCAGGGTGCAGCCACCCAGGGAGTAGGCATTTTCAAAAGAGCCATTGAACAGATGAGAGCCTGGGGTCCAGAGAAGCTCAGGAACCTGTGCAGGGTCACAGCACCGAGAAAGGGCTTTTGGGGGAAAGATACTAAACTGCATGCTGCTTCCAGGTAGGCAAAGGCTGCAGCCAGCTGGCTGGGCCCTCCAGAGGTAATAACAAGGACCACAAGATGGCACTTTATCTTGGCTGCACGTCTTCACTAGGCCACCACCACCACCAGGTGGCGAATGACACTGTTACAGAGGGGCCAAACAGTCCCCAGAGGGCCAGAGTGCGAGGGCCCAAGACACCAGGCCCCAGCGAGGTCCCAGCTGTGGATGCTCTGATGCTAGGAGGAAGGCTGGCAGGGATAGAATGTGACCTTCCTGCATCCCTGACCTGACTCCACAGGCTCACCCTCCCCTTGCCACAGGCTAGCCTAGCAGCCCACTCTGGAGGCCAGGGCCAAGTTCAGACCCCAAGGCCACCCCCAGCCACTGCTGGGGACTGCTGCCTGCCCATCAGCTACCCCTTCTGCCAATACAGGCCATGCTGGTTCCACAGGACCTGCCCACCTGATCATCTGCCTGAGATGACCCTGAGCCCTCTCACTCAGCCCAGCCCCTACCACTCTCAGGCTCCCAGTCCTTGTCTTCCATCCCCCTCCAACCCTGCTCTAAAAATGTCATCAGTTTACTGATGGCTGGAATCCTCCTCCCCATTCTAGTCCCTCTGCCTGTCCCCTGTAGCCCAGAGCCAGCCCAGGCTGCAATTCTGCCCTATCCTTTCCCTTCCCACCTACTCTGATGGAGTCCCTGGCCCTCCCCTGGGCCACAGCCCAGCAACCCAGCTCCTGCCCTCCAAGTAGCCCACTGCCCAAGCCCTCTTGGCTGCAGGTCCTCACCTGCCACCAGCTTGTACCAGACTCCCAGCCCTCCTTCCCCCACTAGCTGGCCCCTCCAGGGGATCATCCTGGAAGAGCTGCAGAACTAGGGACTACAACCATGAGCCGAGCATGTGACATCAGGCCAATGACCAGCMCTGAGGGTGTCTACCACTGCCCTGCGCTGTCCTCAGGGCCTCAAATCTGGCTCTGTGGAACCCATCCTACTCACAATGTAGCCAGGAGATCTCAATAGTGAGTGGCAAGGGACAGAACCTTTGAAAAACAAATCTGACTGAGGCAAGTGTGGGGGTAGGGGGCACAGTCAGCTGGAGATGCGGGGGACACCAGAGGGTAGAGGCCAGGCTGGAGGTGGAGGAACCTCCCAAGGAAAAAACCACCGGCTCTGCCCCTAGTCTCAAGACACAGACAAATGCTCAGGACATTAGTCTGTTGGCACAACCATGGGATGGTGAGGAGCCAGAGGTCCAGAACCTCAGGTTCCAGCCAACCCCTGCAGGAAGGGGGTCAGGGACACATGGAATTTCCATGGAAATTTGTTTCCAAAAAGGCTTCATTTCAGCATCTGGGAAATACAGAAAGTGGGGCTGCCTRGAGGAGAGTCCAAGGTCTACTTCTTGTTAAGCCACTGACCATTGGAAGGGCTGGGGGCAGGGATTGAAGCCACAGTGGCCTCACCCTCTGAAACAGAGTCACATTAACTACCACAAGAAAAAATGGGTAGGAGAGAACTACATGAGCCTGGCACTGCCCAGCCCCCACCCCACACTCGCTCCCCAGAAGGGCAAAACTCACATTCAAGACAGAGGTGTCCAGCTGTGATTTCCAGACAAGAGGGGTACCTGTCCCCAAGATAGCAACATCCAGGATGGCAGCCAATGGGGAGGAGCATAGGTGGTGGGGAGAAAGAGGAAACCAACCTGTCAGATGGCCTCAGAGGCTGGCCAGCAAGGCACCTGGCAGGGGGCTCATAAAGGGAAGGAACAAGGCCCATCGATGCTCTGCCCCAGCGGCCCTGCCAGCCCCTTCCCCACCTCCTCCTGCAGAAATGACTACTACTTCCAAGGTACCAGGCACAGGGCTGGGTGCTGGGAGACCGGAGGAGGCAAGTCAGGTCTTCTGTGGTCTATGTTCAAGTGGAATGTCAACAAGCAGACCAACAGCATTGGAAATGTCCTAAGGAAAAGGGGGAATGATGGGGCATCTCTGAGCAGATGAAATTCCAAACAAGCCCTGGAGATTGGCGGGAGGAGCCTAGGCAAAGAGTGGGGAGACCAGGGGAAGTCCTGGGCAAAGGCTCAGAAGCCCGGAGGGGCTGGGCATTGCCAGGGTTACAGGAAGTCAGTGTATGTGAAAGGAGAGCAAAGGAGAGGGAGCAGGAAGTGCAGAGAACCTGCTCCTTCCAGCAGCCATCTGTCAGGCTAAAGGGCTGCATTTAGTCTCTGCCCATCCTCAAACCCCCAAACTGAAGGCCCTCCAGCTGCACAAATCCCCTCTRTGGAGCGCAGTGGTTGCAGGCCCTGACTTCTCTATTGGAGGAGGACAGGAGGACAGGCCCAGGGGGCCTCACACACCCCTGAGCTGGAAACATATCCTTAGGGGGATTCAACTGGTCCAGGGTGCTAAAAGCGACACAGTGACCTGCCTACCTGACCAACTGCCTGAGATAACCCTGAGCAGGCTACACAGTAACAGCAGCAGGGCCTGACCCTTCATGCATCCCACAAAGTTACCCTGAGCCTGTTCTGGGAAAGTTCTGTACCCCCAACAGCAGGTCCACAGCAGCTGTGGTTAGGGTCCAGCCCCTGCTCGAGAGACACAGCAATCATGTGACCATCAGCCAATAGCTCACAGTCAGTGGGGCAAGGCCAAAAGAGAACCCCCAGGTCAGCTCTGGAAGGGCAGGCCACCTTGGATAGCCAGTGGGTCCCTTACCTTCTCCTCTGCCTGCCTTTCCATCTGGGACCCATTCACTCAAAGTTCCCATGCCTCAGTTTCCCTGTGGGTACTCTGGAGGTAACAGTGCATCCACCAGAAAATGTGAAGCTGGGAATGAGGCAGTGGGTGTTGAGAGCCCGGATCAGGTGGAGGGGGTCTCGTGAACATGGGAAACCTGAGGAGGGTTAGGGAAACAGAAGCAGAGAGGCCAGGCTGCCTGTGTGACCCCAGGGGAAGCACGGGAGAGTCCACTGGGATTAGCAAAGAGGCTGAGAAGAAAAGGGAAGTTGCTCTAAGCTCTTCAACTCAAGGAAGCCAATGCACTTCCTCTAGTGCAATCATGTCTTCCTGTTCCCATTGTCCCTTCAGCAAGCACATGCCACCTCATCCTGGGTTGTGGCCCAAAGACAGGGCCGCCTTGGCATTGACCACAGGGAGGCTCTTCTGCAACAGAGGAAAAGAAGAAGCCAGATTAACAAAGGAAGTGCTGGTCACCCAGGGAGGTGGGAAGGACTCCAGCCTCCTGCAGTCCTCTGAAGGGGCCTGGCTCTGGCTCCTCCACAGGCCTCCACTCCTGTCTGCACAGCTCTGCTGTCTCATCCCCTGGAGGACGGCAGACCATGGGTTGCGTCCTACTTCTGCTGCTGCTGCTGCCAACAGCATCCCTGAAAGCTGGTGAGTGGCCAGGACACCCCTAGTGGGGCTCTGCCTAAGCCACAGAAGGGGCTGGTGGTAATGGCTGGGCATATGCAGAGGGGTAAGTTGGAGAGGCCAGCCAAACTCCCACCCCAACAAGGAGGTAGACATCCCATGTGTGGGTCTACCTCAACCCTTCACCCTCTTTCCTCCTCCAAGCCTAGAGGAGGGCACCGGAGGGACTGCCTGTGGAGGAAGGTGCTAGGTCTGGGGTAATCTTCTCTGTCTCTTATGGTGGCTTGATATTCTCTCCCCTCCCTCCTCAAGGTTACTCAGCAGCATGCAGCAAAGGCTACCTCTATGGGGTCTCCCAACCAGAACACCTCGAGGCCCCCAAGGGTGACTCCATTACAATCTCCTTCACCTTCTGTTACTCCTGGGTGTTAGCCAAGAATCCCGACGTGAGCATATCCTGGAGACGTAAGGAGTTCCATGGGCCATTTTTCTACAACCACACCACATCTTTTATCCATGAGGATTACAAAAACCGGCTGTCTCTGAACTGGAAAAAGGGTCAGAATTCCGGCTCCCTCATCATCCAGAACCTGCGGGAGGAGGATGAGTCTACGTACTTCTGCCGAGTCCAGCTGAATACGAAGGAAGGCACAAAGCAGTGGCAGTCCGTCAAGGGGACCACAGTTTCCATCACCCACAGTGAGCCCACCCCAGCTGAGGCCTCAGTGTTCTTGGAGTTCTCATCCCCTAACCGAACCCCACACTTGCTTGCCCTTCCCTAGGACCCCCTCCCTGCTCCCTGGCCCCTCCCCACACCTCTGCCAACTTTACCTTTGTCCTTCACCATAATCATCCGTAAACCTGAGCTGCTTCTCCAGACTTTGCCCCTCTAGGTCCCCTCCAGATCCAGCCCTACCCAACTCCCAGGCCTCAGCACCCACCAGACTCACCAGTTGTCCTTCCTTTTTGCTGCAAACGGGCCCTTCTACCCCCGCCCCATGACTTCTAGGTGGATTTGACCTAAGATGCAGCTTGCCATTGCTTGATCTTGTGTCTGGGCCCCAGTTACCCCTAGGGTGAGCATGTACCTTGTGAGTCCCCACCGCCCTCAGGTCAGCCCAGAATATACAGCATGTGCACCTCCAGGCCCTGGGAAGCCCCCAGTCTACTAATCTCCCAGCTCCCTCTCTTGCTCGGCTTCCCAAAACCCATCCCTCATCTCTCCCTGCCCAGGCTCTTCTGTCCCCTGTCCTGCTTCCCTCTTCTCCTTCCTCATCCCTCACCATTAGGGAGCCTCCTCCTCTGCCACACACCCCTCCTCCTCTCCCACACACGTTCTAATCACAATATCCCCATCTTGCACCATGTTTTTCTCTTCTGTCCTGGTCACAACGAGGCACCTCTGCAGTGGCAGTAACAGCAGCTCTCACTTGCTAGCTGCACCAGGGCCCTGCCAGATAACTGGACATTTTCTCAGTTAACCTTCACCACGACCCTGCAGTAACAGAAAAGGTCATCTCATCTTTATTTTAAAGTTAGGGAAACTGAGAGTAGCAGAATCTGAACATCTGCCCAAAGTCACGCTAGTGGTATACATGGGATGTGAAGGGACAGTTAAACGGCAGAACCCTGGTCTCCTAACCATCAGCCACACGCCTTGCCTATTGAGTTGGCCCCAATTCRTCTCTTGACTTATTTTTTAACCTAATAATTAGGACCATTCACAGACGCTTCAGTAGCACTCCATAGGGGTGTTGGAATTGGGACCTGTCTGTGTCTGGGGGGCTCTCAGGAGGCCTTCAGGTGGAGGCTATAAGGCAGTACATTGCCTCTAGAAATTTTTTCAGGAATCTAATAATCGACTAAATGGGTTTCCCTTTCATAATGACCCATGCTAGCAAATCTCCATGACAGTGATTAATGACTCCTCCCTACCAGAGCAGACCCAGCCTCCCATGGTGAACCACTGTCCTATCTTAACCACTGTGCTGGTTTTAGAGTAAATAGACAGTTTCGCTACAGCCTTAATTAAGTAAGATAGCTTGGATTTATATTTCCAGTGCCTCCTACCCACTTCCTTAAATGGCCTTTTCTGAGAGATTTTGGGTTTTCTCAGGCCCCTCTTCCTCCTTCTCTAATTCCTGTTTGCTTTTCTCCTTTCTTTGTCTTCAGATTTACTATGAGGTTTTTGCTTTGGTTTGGGTTTGGGTTTTGTGGTGCTAAGGATCAAATCCAAGACCTTGCACCTGCTAGGCAAGTTAAATATCACTGAACTACACCCCCATCCCAACAGTAAGTTTTTTTTTATCAATAAATTACTTTTTTTTTCTTTATTTGTTGGTGCTGGGAATTGAACCCAGGGCCTTGTGCATGCTAGGCAAGCACTCTACCAGAGCTTAACTGGGCCTCGCTAAATTGCTGAGGCTAATTAATTACTTTTTAATTAATCCAACTAACCTAATATTCACACCCATAATTTTAAAAGTCAAAATAAAGAAAATGATAAAAAAGATATGGTTGCTAGGCACAGTGGTACGCCTGTAATCCTAGGGGCTCGGGAGACTGAGGCAGGAAGATGGGAAGTTCAAAGGCAGCCTCAGCAACTTAGTGAGGTCCTAATCAACTCAGTGAGACCCTGTCTCTAGGTAAAATACATAAAAGAGCTGGGGATACAGCTCAGTGTTTAGCCTCTGGGTTCAATCCCCAGTACCAAAAAAAAAAAAAAAATGGTTTTGATCCAATTGAAGTACCAGCATGCAAGATATCACAACTGAAAGAATATTTGCAGTAAATATAACTGTTTGTGGTTGGCTTATTAATTTTTTTTACATAACTTTACTTTTATAACCAAATCTAATTGTTTTCATTTGTGAAAATTCTATTTTAAACAAAAATTTCCATCTCCCACTAGAGGTTGAAAATATTTACTTTAAAATTATTCTAAATTTTTGCTCAAATCTTTACATAGTTTCATTTCTTTTCACAAAACATCTTTAAAATACTGAGAACTTATTTTTATATATGGCATGAAGTACAAAACTAAATTGATTTTTCTACAACTAGATTTTTAATCAACTAAATTGATTTTTAAGTAACTAATATATTATCCCAGTCCTTTTGTTGTTGTTTTTATTTTGTGGTGCTGGAGATTGATCCCAGGCGTTACACATGCGACAGTTCTCCACCTCTGACCTACACCCCCAGCAGCAGCCCTGGTCTTCATCTGTGTCACTGATATTTTTCTTATGTCAGTAGCATGCTGTTTTAGTGACACTAATTTTCATGTTTCAATAGAAAAATTATTTCGATCTCAAACACATATTTTTGTCTCAAACACTGTGATATTATGGCCTTCCTATTCTTACACTTAGAGGTTTGAATTGGTTTGCCAAATTCAGGAAAATAAAAAAAAAAAAAAAAACATTCAGGCTGGCTCAGTGGTAGAGCACTTGCCTAACACATGTGAGGCCCTGGGTTCTATTCTCAGCACCACTTATAAATAAATAAAATAAAGGTCTATTGACAACGAACAAAAGAAAAAAAATGAAAGACACTCATTGGGATATTTTAAAACACAATGGCATTATATCAATAAAGCAATCAACAGAAACTGAGATCAGCATGACATGCCACTTTCCCACCCAGGAACGGGTTCTGTTTTATACCCCTTACTAGACCTTGGCAGTGTTCTAAAAGGTCATGTAAATGTTTCATAGGATGTTCCTCTTTATATTCTCTATTTTCATAAGTAGGTAATATTCTAGGTTAGCTTTTGATATCTTCAACAAGTTTTTATAAAAATTAAAGCATAAATTCTGATCCAGGTGGTAGTGTGTGTGTGTGTGTGTGTGTGTGTGTGTGTGTGTGTGTGTGTGCGCGCGCGCATGTCTACCTTAATGTCCTGTATGCACATATCTACCTTAATGTCGCTGCAGCCTTAATTAAGCAAGATAGCTTGGATTTATGGCAGCATCCTCACTCACTCCCAAAATCTACTAAGATGATAGCAAAGGGAACTTTATTAGGCAAAAATACTCAAGAACAAAAATACATGTGTGAGCTAAGTGTCCAAAGGCAAACTTGGGAGGCTGGAAAGACTGCTTAGAACTGACTCAGGAGACCAGAGTTGCTGAAGCCAGCAGAAGGGAAACTCAGAAGATACAGCACAAAACAACAACAGTTCCAACCCAAAATCCCTTGAGGGTTCTATAATGCCAACCCCAGGTATCCCAGAAAGTGGGAGTGAAGATGTATTTGGAAATTACAACACAGTTGAAAATCTTAAGTTGGGGAAACTCCATTCCTCCCAGGCAAAAAATGGAGGTTTGCTTTCCAGAACAGGTAAACCAGAGGGATTCTGGGGTGAGAAACCCCAGACACAACTGGGCAAAAAGACTGGGGTCTCATCCTTGCACGAAATCCCCCCCCCCACTGATGACTGTTGCCTAGTGTCAGTTGTGCCTGGAAAGCCCAAAGCTAGAGCCCCACTTTTCAACTATGTTTACACTAAACACTTAGGAACAACTCCTTCCAGGAAATGCAGACAGCAAAACAAACAGGAGGGTGAAAAATGGACCCTGGGGGAAGATGACCTCCAGGGAGGAAGGAAACAGGTCCCATATGCAGATCACTGTCTCAATAGTAACATAGGAAGCTGAAAAACCATGGTTGAATGTCTGGAATTCCCAAGGAAAATCGTTTCATTTCATTCATTCACTTAACAAATATAGATTGAGTGCCTATCATGTCAGGTGCTAACTGGGCCCTAGAGAAAGTCATTAAAAACACCCAAAGATAGGACCTACTTTGGAGTGGGGGAAGAAAAAAATGTATAAATGAATTTTGTATGTGAGTCAATTGGTGGTGAAAAAAGCAGAGGAGAAAAAGCAGTAGAAAGAGTGGGATAGAGATTTCTAAGGGTATTTCTTCGTACAGATTGAATTGGGAATGCCAACGATGACTCCAAGGCCCTTGGCCGGAAGCATCTTGAAGGACAGTATTGCCATTTATTGTGGGGAGGGAAAGAAAATGAGGAGGAACAGGTGTGGGAGGAAATGAAGATCTCTGTTTTGAACACTTAAGTCAGTTGTTACTAGACATACAAATGGCAGCATGAGGAGGCATTAAGACATGAATCAGCAGTGCAGGGAGAAAGTTGACTGATAGACAGACTTGGGAGTAATCAGGATATTAATGGGATTTAATATCATGTGACTGGATAAGATCAGTAAGTGGTGTAGAGTCAGATGTAAGCTGGGCTGTCTGGCTTCTCAGCATTTAGCATTTTTTACTCTCTCCTTATATGAACTCCTGATGGTTGCTCCCCTACCCATATTTCCCAACTAGTGAACAAGATTCAAAACCCTCACCCAGAAACCCCCACTTCTCCAGTGGAGGGTCTGCTTATTTTTCATCTTTCTCCAGTTGCCAAGACCACCATGCAAACTCCCATCAGCAAAACCTCCAAAACCACGACTGGCATAGAGGTCACAGAGAGCAAAAAGAGATCAGGGTCTCAGCCCCTGAGTCTGGGAGCTGCAGTAGGAGTGGCACTGGCCATTGCTGTGTTTGTAACTGCAATTTTGGCATTGATGGTCTTCCTCAGGTGGAAGAGAAGAAGAGGTAAGCTTGACCCTCTGCCCAAGCTTCCAAATTGGGTGATCCTTAACATTCACCTGCATCAGAATCACTGAAGGTGCTTCTTAAAAATGCAACTCACTGTGGGGCTCCCCTCAAACCCACCAAGTCAGGCTCTGAGGTCTGAGCTTGGAAATCTGCCTTTTTATAATCCCTACAAGTGGGATCAAGTTCTGAGAACCATCAATCCCTGTCTACACAATTGGGTCATCTGCCAGTTCTTCTCACTTGAAATAGTCATGTCTCATCAATTCTTACCTTTTGGTTCATAGAGAAGGGAGGGCTTACCCTGGGAAAAGTAAAGGAGAGAGCAGAAGGAACAGAAAGTTGGATCAGCTCAGCAAGGATTGGTCCAGTGCCCACTTTCCAAAGAGCCTGGTTTGAAACTGGAGAATCAAAGTGGGTAGAGTGGAGTCAGCTTTCAAGAAACTTAGTAGTAGAGGTGTTGGTGATGGGAGAAGCAAGGTGGGGAAAGATCACAATCCCATTTATTATAGAATCAAAAATAAAATAAAATACTTGGAAACAATGTACAAAACATTGTGGAAGGGCTGGGGTTGCAACTCAGTGGTAGAGCACTTGCCTAGCATGTGTGAGGCACTGGGTTCAATCCTGTGGACCACATAACAATAAATAAAATAAAAGTATTATAGCCATCTACAACTAAAAAAAAATTTTAAAACATTATGGAAAGAAACTAAAGAAAGCACAAATAATTGGAATGACAGCTCATAACCATGAATTGAATTAATGTTAAGATGCCCCATTACCCAAAGGAATCTACAGATTCAGTGCAATCCATGTCAAAATCCCAATGGCATTACTTTCTGAAATGAAAATTTCATCCTGAAATTAGAATTTCAAAAATCACCAAATAAGTCAGTCATGGTGTGCACTCCTGAAATCCCAGTGGCTCAGGAGGCTGGGGTGGAAGAACGGCAAGTTCAAAACCAGCCTCAGCAACTTAGAAAGACCCTGTCTCAAATAAAAAAATTAAAAGGGCTGGGGATGTGGATCATTGATTAAGCACTTCTGGGTTCAATCCCTGGTACTAAAAAACAAAAACATTCCAAATAGCCAAGTGTGGAGGACCCACACTTCTGGATTTCAAAACAATACAAAGCTACAGTAATCAAAATAGCCTGGAACTGACATAAAGACAGACATTGGAACAAAATAGAGAACCCAGAAATAAACTCTTGAATTTACAATCAAATGATCTTCAACAAGAGTGCCAAGATGTCTAAGTAGGGAAAAAGAGGACCAACTGAGAGTTAAGAGGAATGGTCCACAGTGGCAATAGAAGTCTTGAACACAATTCCAACCCTAGGGCTGAATCTGCAATGGGAAGAAGCAGCCAGCACTAAGGAGAAAGTGCTAGAAGATGTTTTTGTGAAAGGAAGGAAAGAACAATGGAGGAAAGCAAGGAGGAACATAGGAGTGGGCAAGAAGTTCAAGGGGGAAGAAGGAAGTAAAGTTTGGAGATAGGGCAAGGATGAAGGGGCAATTGACCAGAAGAGCTTGTCTTAGGATTTGCAGTACAGGACAGTAAGAGGTGAGAGCTGGTTGCAGAATGCCAGCTGAGTCCCAGGCCCTTTCCTGGCTTTTGGGGCAGAACTTCTCTGCTACCCTAGTTCCTTGAAAGATTGTCTGAGTGCAGGACACAGCTGAGAAGGTGGGATGGAGGATCATCATGGATGTCACACTGACGTGCTGTTGGTCTTCCTACAGATCAGCCTACCAAAGCCCAAAGCCCAGCCAGGTGAGTATTTGTCCTCCCAAGACTTGGGGAGAGGGGCTGGTTTGGGAAGTCTCCTTGGGAAAACCATACAAGGTGCCTGTTACAGCCACCCTCCCATCCCCGACTCTTTTGTCCTCCAACAGACCAGACTCTTTACCTTCACAAGCTTTATCCCCTGATAATGACCAGAATGCACAGGCTTTCAGCTATTCTCCTATTCAGAACTGCTCCCTCCAGTCTTTCTCCTGGATCCTCTTTCCTTCCCTCCTTCATTTCTAGGCTGCAACTTATGTTCATCTGGTTTCCCCTCAGACTTGAACATGTCTTCCTGGACACATCCAGCTCCCCAGATCCTCTTGTCATTCTTGCTGCCTGTCCAGTCTGTCCTTTTCCCCTGATGAATACCCCATGAACCCCAGGCATCCTCTGCCCCAGCTCACCATCTCTCTCGTCCTTTCCTCTTCATCCTCCCATTACCATACTTTCCCAGTTAAGTTCTCTATCTCTCTCTTCTCTCCCTGCCCAGCTGCTCTTCATCCCCATCTCCAGGTCCCTTCTCCTTCCAGAGACCCAGCCTGAGCAAGGGCCCAGAAAACCTGAATTTGTTCTGTTCTCCCAGTTTTAGCCAAGGCAGTACCCTCCCTACCTCTCCTAAGTGCCCCCAATACAAGCAGCTTCCCTCGAAAACCCACCTTTAGTTGGTGCTAAGACCTCTGCTGGACAGCCCCACCAAGGGCTCTGATTCCTCTTCCAGGCAGTCTCCTTCTGGGGGGCCTAACACCATCACATTCATCCTGTGTACCAGGGCAGATTGTAGTGCCCCCCAAAAGGAGAACCAGCATGACTTGACTCCCTATGCCCAACCTCTAACCTACTTCTCAACCTTTTGTCCCCATGCAGTGAACGCTTCTCAAATACTGAGGAGCAATATGAGAATGTTGAGTATAGAGGTAAGTCCTACCATCACCATTCCCAAGCTTCCCAGGCCCTTCCTTCTTCCCCCAAACACCTGCTACCTCCACATGCACCACCTCTGTGCTCTCCCCCATTCTGTTCCTCACTTCATCCCTCCCATGTGACCTGCCCATAACCTAACGATACTGGGTGCCACAGCCCCTATCATTTGTCCACCTGTCTGCCATACCACTTGCTCTCAGCACTCCTTGGTTTTCCCCTCCATAGGACACAACATACACTTGAAAGTGAAACCTGAGGAAAGCAACTCAAACTTGGCCCTGAAGGAGGTAAGGGGGATTTGGAGAAGGTAGTATGCAAGGAATGGAGGGCCTGTGGTGTAGGCAAGGTACTCAGGATGTAGGTCTTTGCTTTAGGAGAGGAGAGCCAGGCCCCAACATGACTTGACTCCCTATGCCCTATACTCCCTATAACCTACTTCTTCAGAACAGAATATAGGTTCTTTTCCGGGGAGTCTCCATTCTGGGGTCTAGGCCCTTCTCTCTCCTCCAAGGGACAAGGCCACATGATGAGCTGGTGGGTTCAGCCCTTTGGCATCATTCTAACTTCTTTTTCCTGAGACAAGTTGGTTGCTGAAGCCTTGGTTTGGGGAACTTGAAATTTTTTCTTAAGGCCTAGATGCAATGAGAATAAAGTTCAGAGTCCTATAAGGCAAGATTATGCTGGCTTAGTAAAATTCTAAATACCTATGCAAAAAAAAAAAAAAGTATCTGTAGAAAAGATCGCAGTATAAAGAACATGGGCTTTTGGGTCAGAAAAAGTTGGATTAAAGCCACTAACATCCTCTTCTTTTGGTTCTCACCCAGGAAGACAACATTGTCTATGCCTCCCTTTCCCTCTCCAACTTGACCTTGCCAGGAGCAGCTCCTAGCCACACTCTTCATGGGGGCTCCCCGGAAAAGAGCCTATATTCTGTTCTGAAGACCTAAAGAGTGGGGTTGAAATGATGATCTTAGATTCAACTATGCTTAGGGCTGGAGTTGTGGCTCAGCGGTAGAGCACTTGCCTAGCACATGCAAGGACCTGAGTTCGATCCTCAGCACCACATAAAAAATAAAAAAAATAAAGAATATTTTAAAAAAAGAATCAACTATGCTTCCAATGGGAAAAATCACAGCTTCCAATTACTAAAACCAGACAACTCAGAAATCAGGAGGTTTGAAGGACACAAAGAAATTGGTACAGCCATTTATAGTCAAGCCACCTCCTCTAGAATTTTTTTTCTCAGTGACTATCTCAGGCCAGGAAACACAAATCCCCAAACCCTGGTAGCCACCACAGAACCAAGGACTGCTTCTGATCTAACCATCATCTCCCCTCACCGTAACCACTAGCATTATCCTGATTATTCCATCACCTCATGAAAACATCAATCCTACTTAGACCATGTGCCCATTTGAGGCATGAAGAGATAGTTCAAGTGCTTTCCCAAGGCTATAGAGCTGGCTAGTATCACTGAGCCAGGATCTGAACCCAGACCTACCCTTTTGGAGGTTCTCCCAGGACTCAGGTCTCACTGCCTTCCCCAGCTCCTATGACATGCAAGCCTCCCATCAGAGGCACTGATATGCCACAGTAACATGTGGAAGGAAAGAAGCCAAAATGAAGCACTGCTTAGACAGAAGCCAAACAAATCACATCAGTAACCTGCTTTATTAACACATAAACTGCACAACTGACTTGAACTTGTAGCCAACTAACAACCCCCAAATTATCAACTGCTCAGGGACCTCCCAAGAGACTCTTTCCCCTGCTGCAGAGATAGTAGGATAAGAGCAGAGGACTACTCCTCAAAGAAGGCTGCAGGGAACCCCTCTGCATCCTCTCCATGCTGTGGCTCCCCTTGCTCCTTGGCCTCTCCTCCAATATCTTCCATGAGTTGCTCCAGGTCCAGGTCACTGGAAGCTTCATCTCCAGTGGGGATACTTTCAGCCTCCTTAGTCAGTGGTTCCTGGGGTCTAGGCCCTTCTTTCCCCTCCAAGGGACAGGCCACGTGATGAGCTGGTGGGGTCAGGCCCTTCGGCATCATTCTAACTTCTTTTTCCTGAGACAAGTTGGTTGCTGAGGCCTTGGTTTGGGGAACTTGAAATTTTTTCTTAAGGCCTAGATGCAATGGGAATAAAGTTCAGAGTCCTAAAAGGCAAGATTATGCTGGCTTAGTAAAATTCTAAATACCTATGCAAAGAAAACATATCTGTGGAAAAGATCGCAGTATAAAGAACATGGGCTTTTGGGTCAGAAAGACTTGGATTAAAGCCATGGATATCCATATGCTCAACATGGGTCTTAAAACAAATTTTAAACTTTTTGAGTTTCAGCTGTCCTATATTTAAAAGGTCAAATATCCAGTCATAAAGCTACAGAAATAAAGAAAAGGAACAAGCAGGAAAGTACCTATCTAGCCAGTCTACAGTAACATTCAATAAACATTCTCTTCTCCTCAGTATTCTCCCCTCCCTGGAATCAATCAACTCAAAACCCATCATGCTTTCATACTGTGTGTGCCAGGTACAATGTGAGGCATGCGCTTTCATTCTGATTTTCATTCCTTCTTTAATGTAATGAAAAGCTGTAGAATTTTTCAGAAATGATCCTGGAGAGGATATGCAGTTATGGACCTCATTTCTCCAGTGTTTTATACCTTGAGCCTTACCTGGCTGGTCCAGATCAGAATTCCTTTGTCCTTCTTTCCTTCCCGTTTTGGGTGCAGGAGGCACTATGGATTCACTGCCCAGAGGTCTCTTCACTATCTTCTTTTTCAGGGTCCTGTGTTGTCTATCTGCCATGCCTGCATCACCCCAACCCCAAAAATATCAAGGACATTTTTTCTCTCTCAATAACAACTTGGAAAGGGCAGACTGTCTCCCGACATTTAGCCTCTGCCTTGCTCCACATCTGCTTATTCTCAATCTAGTGAGCTCTCTCAGTGGCTTCCAGTTCCCCATCCCGCTTGGGTTTTGTTGTTTTTTTTTTTTTTTACATCCCCCCCCTGCCCCATCTTCTCCTTCTCTTCACTGTTCTCCTGAGAGTCGGCCTTCTCTAGGAAGCCATCCTTATTGGCTAAGAATTTAAAACTTCCCATCTTTAACCTAACATTTTATAAAACACAGAAATGAGGAACCTACAGTTTCTTCCCTGATACAATCAGCTAGTCCTGCCTGTGTTTTCAGGTCTTGGAGCTGAAATAGATGGACCCAGCTACCTGAAGACTCCTAATACTCTCTGCTTCTGCCTTGCCTTAACTGTGAGACGCAGCCCCTTTCCAGCAGGCTTGCTTACGTCTTGCCTTGGGCTTTTTTGAATGTGTTTTGGTTGGCTTTGGTCCAGGCATAGTTGGATCCTGTGAATAGAATAAGGGAAAAAAAGGATAAATTCAGTCATATAACCGTCTTAATAGACAGGGATGTTGTAGAATAGCGGGTGGGTTTTAGGGAATCAACGGTCACCTTCCCATTTTGTTTGGTATTAGTCAATGCAAGGTTTTAATACATAAAAGAAGGAAATAAAGCTAGGTCACAAGCATGGTAAAAGCTGATAAATTAAAAATTAAAAATAATTAAAAGAGAAAGTGAAAATCTATATTTCATATTCCTGAATATGAAATATGCTAAGTAACTGAGTGAATGAATATCCTAAGGGTCCACAGAGGAAAGAAAAGAATAAAAAAGCAATCTGCTCTTCTCTCAAATTTCTCCAGAAAGGACCACAGAAATATGGTATAAATTGAGATTTTAATAAAAAAATGTTCTAGAGATGTGAGAAATTGAGGGAACAAGGAGGACTGCAGAGAGCCTCCCTTGGTGGAGACCTCTAGGACATAAGACCAGCCAGCTGGTCTTCCCTGAGACAGAAATGAAATGGATAATAGCAAATGTAAACCCATCACAACCAGTTCCTTACAGGACTCTCCTAAAAGGCTATATCCTGATATAACCAATATTTAAAGCTAATCTTACTCTCTTCTCTTCTTTCTCCTTCTCTATCTCTGATTCCTCCTCTTCTTTTTCCAAGTAGGACTCTGGGCTATTAGCCCCAGAAAGTATTAGGTCTAGAACAGGAAAAGAAAAGAAAGGCTAAATAATTTTTACAAAAAAAGTTGGTGAATTATGAAGCTGATGCCAGAGAATCCATCTTCTAACTCTGCCTTCTGTGTCCAAATGATATTTTCCTCATAAAATTAGTTCCCAAATATCATGATTCCACCCTCTTCAAAGCTCATTACTATCCATCTACATTCTCTTTTCACCCTCTTTTTCCCCATTCTTCTCTCCATCCATCCGTCGATCCATCCTGAATACTGGATCAATGAAATTCACAAGAGTCTCCTATTACAGAATCCAGAACCAAGCTTGAGCTGCCACTTTCATGGAAGAGTCTCTCCCCTTCCTCTTCAGCCTCCCCCTCCACTTCTACCTTTTCCATTCCCACTGCTGTCAGATCCACCGTAACGGCTCCAGAAACCAAATAAGTTGACCCGCTCCTGAGGGAACCAAGAAACAAAAACATCATCCACTATCTTCCTGAGGGAGCCTTTGCCCTCTGTCTTCTAAATTTTATTTTATTTTTTTTAGAGAATTTTTAATATTTATTTATTTTTTTTTAGTTTTCGGCGGACACAACATCTTTGTTTGTATGTGGTGCTGAGGATCGAACCCAGGCCGCACGCATGCCAGGCGAGCGCACTATCGCTTGAGCCACATCCCCAGCCCAATTCTAAATTTTAGTTCTGACAAAATTTGTATTCATTTTCCACACCATTTTCACTTGAAATATTATATTAGGCCTATCTGGACTTTTATAGAGATTAACTGTAATCTATTTTCCCAGTTTATTCATAATTCAACAAGTAACAGGGAACGAGAAATTCAGTTCGTCATTCTCAACCCCACCCTTACCCCCATAGGCAGAATCTGAGACTGAAAAACTCTCAGATTAAAAGAGATTAGGGTACAAATATCTGAGACTTGAAGTTAAATAGGGAGGTAGGCTGACCCCTACCACAAACTGTGTCTCTTTGGGCTGAGAGAAGATCCCACTTGTTCAAGGACATGGGAAGAAATGGATGACTTCAGGAATCAAGGGAATCTGGTCTCAGGAAAAAAGCAGTTCTAAGATAACAACTATGGAATGCAGTGGGGAGTATGGTTTTCTTTGTGTCTAAGTCCCAAATAAAAGCAAGTATGTGATCTGAACACTCTCCCACCCCAATGTTGATCTGTTCTGCCTTCTGAGCCATCATGATGGCTGCCACCAATTTCTGGCTGTAGTCCTTATTCCTGCACTTTTTCTGAAATGGAAGAAGATTACAGTCAATAATAGATACTGCTTTAAATATCAGTCAATAATAAATATTAGAGAAGTGATCCCAACATGCTGCAACCCACCAGACAGTATTTTAACTATTTGTTTCCAGTTATTGATATGATACTCCTCTGTTCTCAGTCTTCTGCACTCAGAAACAGCACTCCTCTTCCTTCTAATAAACCTCTCACCAATTCCTAGAAAATTTTTCAATTGACATTTTGGTCTCCAAAGTGAATGTAAAGGAGTTTAGGTGATCTCACTTTTAAGCTTCTCACAAGTTTCTTTAGATACAACTGTTTGATTTAATTCTGTTTCCTTTTCTAAGACCCCTGAATTGCTGGGCCTTTGCTCATCTTATAGCCACTGGACACAAAGTAACTCTAAGAAGGAAATATGACATACTTAACCCAGAAAGGCTTTGTGCCCCAGAGACATTTGGCAATGTCTGGAGACAATTTTTCGTTTGTCATGACTAGAAGCAGGGTCAGGGGCAGGGCTAGATGCCAGAAGACCCCAGGGATGTTGATAAACGTTCTATAGTGCACAGGACAGCCCTCCACAACAAAAGATTATCTGATCCAAAATGTCCACAGCACTGAGAATGGTAAATCCTAAATTAATCTGGGCCCTCATGTCTGTCAGTCCTGATTTGGCTCAACTGTAGAGTACCTTCACCTTCAGGAAGGTCCACTATCTGCAAGCAGGGAAGGAGACTGAAAAAAAATTGTTACCTTACTGCAACCCAGCAAAAAGAAGAGTGCCTCGTGCATAATCTTACCCTTGGCATGACTGATCAGACCAAAGACCATCTCCAGACAGTTTCCCCTGGGAGCAGACTACACTTAATAAAGGGAAGATTTTTGTCTTCCAGTTCCTTGTATCACAAGAGACACCCCCCCACACACACACACACAGGTTTGCTCACCACTCCTGCTAGCTCCAGGGACAGCTCCTGGAAATTCTTTAGCATGTTGACTGGGATCCAAGCACGAGAAACTGTTTCTCCAAAAAATGTCACGTGGTATTTAGACTGTAATAAAAGATAGTCTGTTTGGCTCTTGACCTCTCTACTTTTCTCCTCTTGCCACAAGAAGTGGAGAAAGATAAGGGGACTTACAAAGAAGGTGTTGCACTTCATATGTTCCCTGAAGTCTGAATCCCCTACTCCACCTCATCCCACTATTCCTCCATTTTGACCTCAGGAATTCTAGTCAAAGCATCTTTATCAAATCAAAAATGCCCTACAAATGGGTAAAGATTTAATTAAACACAAGTTTATTTCTTGGGGTGAGAACTTACCTCCATATTCCTAGCTCTAATTAAGGTCTTTTTTGTACTCAAGTCTGCTGCCTAAATCTATGTTTCCAACTCTAAATATCTTTTAGGATGGATATGCTTGTTTATTACTCACTGGCAGAGAATCAAGATGAGAAGCAAAGAGAAAATATTCCCCCAGGTCAGGATCAGATTCGACCATGCCTGGCCACCTGGGGAAGAGAGACAGGCATAGGGGATACAAAAGAAGACATCAGATAAACAGAACACAAGCTAATCAATATACATGTACAGAAAAAGGCAATACATTTAGTAAACAAAGGATCCAAAAGGTCCCTCATTAGCCCCTCCAGTGGCCACTTTCAAATGACTAAAGTGACTTCCATCAATGTACACAGAAGGTCAGAGTCTTCCTAGTAGAGTTGTCTTACTCTTATGCACATTCCCACAACCCTGAGTACAAAATCTCTAAGGAAGAAACTATCCTAATCTTCCTCATTCTCTTCACTTTGCATGTTCTCACAACTCAATATTTTAAAATGCCTTGGATCCCCCCTCTATTTTCTACCCAGTTATGGCAGCATTGCCAGACCTTTCTTCCTGGAACCTCAAGAAAACACGCTCTTTCAAAACCCTCGAGCTTGATATTTTGTCTTCTCCCTCACCTCATGATTCCCCAACCTATGACTGGGAAAAACAATGCTCAGAGAAAATAATTACTTGCTAAAGATCAGTCTAACTTAAGTTAGACCTTAACTTTGAGAAACCTTAGAAAGACCTTGTTCTTTCTAAGACAAGTACTGTTCCCATTACAAATGTCTGCCATTTCTTTCCCTCCCTGCTTGAATCTACCACTCCCAAGCTCAGGATGGATGTTTTCTCTTTATCACGGTGCCCTACCAGGGGTAACCATACTGCTTGGCCCAGATGATGGATCCTGGGACATAGGAGGCATAGGCCACATCACTCTCACGCCCTGTCCAGATCTCCTCAGGAATATCACAGCGATTATAATCCAAGTCTGCCAAGAGAGAGAAGGAATGAAGGGATAGGAAGACACTCATGAGGTAGAAATCTAGATGCAGGTTATGAGAGAACAAGAAGAAAGTAGTATAGGAAGCAGGCAGAACAAAAGTAGCACCTGGAGGAAAAGAATAGAGACCCATGGAAGAAATGCAGCCTGAGCCAGGAGAATTAGGAGTGCTACCTCCTGATACTCTATATAGAGATTCCAAACTCCCACTTACAAACCCTGGTGTGACTCTGTTCCCATCCATGGAGCAGTATGAGAGTAATTTCTCAGAGACTATTTTCTCATGTGTAAAATAACTGAGCTAGACAAGATCATCATTATTTCTTCAAAGTAGTTTCAAACATTCTATAATTCTAAGAACATTGGGTCTTTCTCACCTGCTTTCCCCTATAAATCCCATATTCCTTGCTATCTACCAGCCCAATATTCTAATCAGGATTGAAAGGATCAGACCAATACTGAAGAAAATGAAATTCACACAATACATATATTCAGAATTCTAGGCCCTTTTCTTCGTGTAACTTTACAGGATTGTCTTTCTCCCACTATTTATGCCCATAGTCATCTCCACAGGATAAGAAGCTCCTTTCTCCCAGTCACTACAAGGACCCCTTTAGTGTAAAATACACCCATGTCATAGTTAATCTAAGGGATACATATCAGGAAAGAAGGAAGAACAATAAAACTTGAAAAAAAAATATTCTACTTTTTTCTACCTGTATTCTGGTCACAAGACCAATTATCTGGGAGAATTGAAGGGTCAATGTTCCCACGCAGCCGCCTCCATTTCTCACAGTTTGGAGAGGAACACTGGACCCAAACTAAACATTGACCTGTGACAAGAAAAAAAAAACTTTCATAAAGGACTCAAAAATAGGTTATTCCTTCTTCAATCCAACTAAAAATCAATGTAACTTTCCCACTCCCCCAGAATCACATCTCTATATAAATCTTACATATCAACTAGTCCAATCCCTGCCCCATGACTGGGAAAAATCAATGCTCAGAGAAGATAATTATTTGCTGAAGATCAGACTAAATTAGAACTTGGAATTCAAGCAAGCAGAAGGATAGTTTCCTGTATTAATAGTTCTTAGATAAAAAGATTGCCTTAGGGATGCGGGTATAGCTCAGCAGTAAAGTGCTGGCATAGCATGTGTTGGGCCCAATGTGTTCAGTCCAATCCCCAACACTGCCCCCCATCAAAAAATAGTTGCCTGGTATTTTTCCTGAGAGTGCTTCATTCTCTGTTGTAKGACACTACTGAAAGGTTCTTTTGAAGGGCTAACCAGCCTCCCTTGTGTTCAATATACAGTTCTTATCTGAATCTGTTACCAAATCACAAATTGAAACCTGTAAGACCAACAGCCCTGGGTTCACCCTCCTCCCAAATACACTGATCTAAGTCTAGCACTTCTCTCCCATTTGCTTTGGGCCCCAAAGGCCAAGCCTCCATTTATCCATTACCTTCTAAATTCCCATCTCAGCCTCTGTATCCCCACATCTTGACTTTATGTCCCACACACTTCCCCTCCCAAGAGTGTCCTTTGAAATTCCACAGACTTGAGCAACAAATGTTCACATATACTTAACCTCTGAGCCTCTGCCTCCTTTATGAAGCCTGAAGACATACTAATGACACTCAACCTGACCTCTACCCCAGCCCTCTAAGTGGATTCTGTCCCTTCTCACACTGTCCATGTCTCTCAGGACAGAATGTTGCGCCAGCATCATCCTTACTCCCATTGCTACTATATTTAAATCTCTTCTTCCTTTGAGGTTCTACCATCCTTTCATCTCCCCTGTAAATATGCTGGCATCCAGCTATCTTATTTTCTTCCATTTCTAGACTTCAGTCCAGATGACCACAGGAAAACCACCAAAAAAATCCCCATTCTCTCAGTTCCTTAAATTTTTCCTCCATGCCACCTCAGTAATCCACTCCCACTTCCACATGCCCCAACCAGCCATCTACGGGAATCCTAAACCCTTTGATCCATTTATTCAAATATCTTCTCTGACAAAAAAAAAAAAAAACGAGCCCTGTCTGGGCTGGAGTTGTGGCTCAGTGGTAGAGTGCTCGCCAGGCATGCACAAGGCACTGGGCTCAATCCTCAGCACCACATAAATTTAAAATAAAGATATTGTGTCCAGCTAAAACTAAAAAAAAAAAAAAAAAAAAAAAAAAAAAAGCCCTGTCCTCTCCTACCTCACCTATTCAATGAGCCCTATAGCAACTTTCTCAATCCACTATCTCCTCCCATCTTCTCTGCTTGGTAACAACCTCTATTCTTCACTCTGAACCAATCACCTTTGGTTCTCTAACACTTCCTTAGACTCTCTTGCAGACATCTTCAGCTGCCTTTTTATCTGTCCTTTCTTCCACCCATGACAAAACACCACCTTGAATGAACCCAGTTTCTTCCTTTTCTGTGCTTACACTCCTGAAACTGAAAGTTGCTAGAGAAAAACCAGGCACGTAGGTATCACTATATTTTCACAATTCATATTACCAACCATTATGTTCCTCTGGTAAGTTCACTCTCTCGTGTGAAAGCAATAATTATTCACAAGAAAATGAATGGAAAGAAACCACTCTAATGATATAAAACTGGATATTTATGGCTTGGGATGAAATATCCAATGACATCAATTTTTTAAAGTTTCTGTTCAAACAACTGAAAGGAAAAGACAATGTGCTCTGAAAAACTGATGTTCACCATATGTGGTTCCAGGATAATGAAGACTGATGTCACAGACACACATTAACAGCATTTCAATTGGCCATTCATTCCATAAACACTAGCATCCTGAGTTCTGTGTTACCTCATTCTCCTGTCCCCTCCCCTCATCTTTCAGACCGTTTCCTCCTCAGTTTCCTTTGCTAGATTCTCCTCATTCTCCATCCAATCTTTAAATGTCACAGTTCCAAAGCCCAATCACGGGCTTTCTTTCCCCACACTATACTTTCCCCTAGACAAGCTCACCCATTCCCATATCTTTGAAATCCACTTTCATACCCGAATTACAGATTCCACCTTGCCTTTTGGCATTGTGTGTGTGTGTTCTGCTGAGAACTGAACTTGGCCATGTGTACATACACTTCCATTGGACTACATCCCCAACCCTGATACTTTTATTTGGAAGTTTCACAAAGATCTCAAGTTTAGTACACCTAACCTTGAATCTTATCCCACAAATGTGTTGTTCTTCCACTCTTATCACTTTCTTTTACATAACTGCTTAAGCCCAAAACCAAACATCTTTGACAGAACCTTTCCTCTCTTCCTGTCCCCAATATCCAATTCATTACCAAGTTGTTACAATTTTATCTCTAAAACTTATCATAAAACTATCTATTTCTTTCTCTCTCTCCATTTTTATCATCCTAATCCCAGCCATGCTACCACTAACTTAGTAATTGGTTGACTCCTCCTTCTTTTCCCCATATTTCAACCACTAATTTATCACTAAAGGATCATTTTAAACATTAATTTGGCCAGGCATGGTGATGTACACCTGTAATCCCAAATACTCAGAAGGCTGAACCAAGAGGATCACAAGTTCAAGACCAGCTTGAGCAATTTAGTAAGACCTTGACTCAAAGTGAGATTTTAAAAAGGGCTACGGACGTAGCTCAGTAGTATAGCACTTGCCTAGCATGTGCAAGGGTCTGGATTCTATTCCCCAGTATCATGCACATAAAAAAAGAAATTAAGAATGACACACTGCACTAAAGTATAAAAATTTCACTATAGCACAGTCAAGGTCATTGATCTAACCACTGCCTAGTTCTTTCCATTTTTCCTAAGGCACTTTCCCACTTCCCTCCCTTGCTCTCTGAACTCCAATCATACTTTTTTTTTTTATTTGGTACTGGGAATATGACAAACTTACCCCTACCTAAAATTTTATCCTACTCTTCACTTGAATAACTTCTTTTATTTTTTTTCAGGTTACATCTGAAATATAATTTCCTTAGAAATTCCCTGACAATCCCAATCTTACTTAGGTCTCCATCATTTCCTAGTGACACTCTTCTTTTCCTTCACAATATTTAGTGAAAATTGTATTTAGGGGATTCACCCCTTTCTACTTTATTCTCCAGAAGACTCTTTTCCTTGGCAATTGTAAGAAACAGAAGGAATGGTTCACTTACAGCAAGAGGCTGACAAATTCACTACAATCATAATTCAACTCACAGGCGCCACCTAGGGAATGAGCTCATATCTGTCAATCTAAAATCCTATCCTGGCGGTAATGAGTACAGAAGAGGGAGCCACATAAACCTAATGACACTGGTTTATTTGGAAGAACTGGAGAGCAGGTCAACAGGGTCTACAGTATACCAAGAATAGTTCTTAACAGGTACATCTAAGTTTATCTGTTCGAATAAAACCAAAAGGGAAAAAAACTCTTAGTTCTCTTTTCAAGAAACAAACCTACCTAGAACACTCCCTTGTGGTGATCTGAGTTTCAGACCACCTGACCATCCAGTTAGATTATACTTCCAGATCCTTATTGCTACCATGTCATTGTAATTAGAGGAATGGTTCACTAATCTGGACTATCTTTCTTGTTGGTACCCGCAAAGTCTTTCTAGTGTTTTTTCCAAGTTTGTGCAAATTCTATTATGCTTTTACAATCAAAACAATGTACATATACACATACATATTAGATACCACCTGACTTTTTACTATACCAATCCGTATACTTTGGATTTTGTTTTCTATTATTTTGGGGGTTTCTGTACAAGCCTGTTTTCTCCTAAAGTATTAGCTATTTATGTCTGAATTTTTGAACCTACTAATATATTGTACGATCTGTTTTATTTCTTGTCATAAATATCTAAACGTCACCTTGATTATTTCATATTATACTTTTCATTATCTAACACACAAAAACTGTAATTCTATGAATAAGAGCTATCAAATTTATTCATCACTGTATTTCTAGCTCCTAATGTACATGGCACACAATTAACACACTAATAAGTGTAGTTAAGAAAACAAATAAGGGCTGGGGATGTGGCTCAAGCGGTAGCGCGCTCGCCTGGCATGCTTGCGGCCCGGGTTCGATCCTCAGCACCACATACCAACAAAGATGTTGTGTCCGCCGAGAACTAAAAAAAAAAATAAATGTTGGAAATTCTCTCTCTCTCTCTCTCCTCTCTCCTCTCACTCTCTAAGAAAAAAAAAAAGAAAACAAATAAGTTGAGGATATAGTTCAGTGGTAGAGTGCATATTTAGCATATGCAAAGCCCTGGGTTCAATCCCTGGAACACAAAAAAATTCATAAAAATAAATAAATCCATATTCATTGTGACTCTGCCTTCAACCCATCCCAAAGGCTAAGGTGTCCTTCTTGGTGAAGGACAAATTCCTTGAATCTCTTCCCATTCCTATCTCAATTTCTCCCCCTCTATAAATAAATTTCCCTTAACATACAAATATGATCAAGTCTCTCTTTTAAAAGATAATTCTAGGCATGATGGCACATGTCTATAATCCCAGTACTTGGGAAGGCTGAAGCAGGTAGATCACTTGAGCTCAGGAGTCTGAGATCAGCCTGGGCAACACAGGAAGACCCTGTCTCATTTGTTATTCATAGACAGATGAATAGATGGATGGATAGATAGAAGAAAGTTATAAAATGAATATCCCTCCCACAACTCTCCCACTCTGTCCATTTTCTCCCTCTTAATTTTCACATGTATACTAACTAAAAAGTGTTTACTCTGCAACTAAATATAACCATCCATACACCCTTACCAATCCATATGATAACTATTATCAAACCCTAATGGCTTCCTAACTGTGATATCCTTGAGTATTTTCAAATCTTTACCCTCTCTGGCTTCTCCATGATAGCATTTGACATGACTAAGCACTCCCTTTTTCTTCAAATTCTTTCCTCCTCTGATATCTGTGATACCACTCTCATAATTTTTCTTCTACCTTTCTGACCACATCTTAGTTTTCTGCCTGGGTACTATCTAAAATGCCTGGTACGTAAGGATTATGTGAATAAATGACTGAATGAATGGAATCTTTCTCTTCCTCAGCAGCATATTATTTAACAAGCAACTGTGAAAGTTAGAGTCTTTGCAGTTTCCTCTAACATTCTAATCCTTGTCTCTCTCCTCCATTTTGAATATTCAGCCCAGGTGGGCTTGCCAAACCAAGTGATAAACTTTGGATAAACTCACCAAAACCACTTTCTTCCCCTTTTTGCTGACCCCTGATCTGAGAATCACCCTGAATTATTTTCTCTGGATGGTCTTTCTCTCTGCACTCATGTCCACCTTGAACTTTGTCCATTTTTTCATCTTCTGGGAAGGTTAAAAAAAAAAAAAAAACATTATGAGGTGAGGAGATGAAGAAAAGAATCTTTGTAGATAGAAAAGGTCAGTGAAAAGAGGAATCAAAGCTCAATAATTTCAAGACTTGGACTGAAAATTCTCAGCCTATTAACTGTCCCATCCTCTCATTTCTTTAAGTATCTAAGTCAGGAATCAAATTGTATCTGACTACACTTACGAGCTTCCCTCTTTCTTTTGCTTAAGGAAAGTCTATTAAATTTCTTCTCAGAAGGTGCAGGAACCAGTTGGGCTGATTTAGATGTTCTTATCTCTGGGACATCTTCTACAGAGGCTGAAGTCTCTGGAGTATGAGGTATCATTTTCCTCTCTCTGAAAATGATATTTTCAAGTGAAAAAGTCAAAAGGAGCAACTTTTGAAAGACCTCAAGGGTGAAAGAAAGATAAAAGATTTCTAGATTTGGGGGTAAGGGTATAGCTTGGTGGTACAGCACACAATTAGAATGAACAAGGAAAAAAATACCAATCCTACGTCCATTAAAGCCACCTGAGGTCATTTTACTCATCTACTTGCTTATTTTTTTCCTCAGCTGAAAGAGGTTTCTTTCCTTAGCTGAGAGAAATCAGTAGAAATAAAATCAGTAGAAATAAAATTATATAATTTTTAATTACATTTTAAAATATTGTAAAAGTACAATTTAAAAATTTAGGTGAGATGAGCATGGTGGTACATGCCTATAATCAGTAGAAACACCATAAATGACTAGATATATAGATAAATCACCATTTCCCAATGTTAATTCCCCATGTTTAACTTGCCTCCCTGGGATAAACTTACCCAACAGCGTTATCATTATCAGTAGCAGAAGCAATGCCTGGTTCTTTGTCTGACTGGGAATTGGTCTGAACACAGGTAGTCTCTGCAAAATTAAGACCAGATCCCATCCCTCCCAAAACAGAATATTATAAGCAGAGAAGTGATAAGACAATCACTCAGTATTTACTAACCATAACATTTGTCTCTTTCCTGTGCCTAGAAGAGTTTACCTTTGGCTACTTGTCATATGATAAAACCTAAATCTTTAAATTTTCAGAAAAAAAAAACTAGAAATCTGTATCTTTCTGCAAGCCTTTCCAGACTGATCTGATTCACTCCAGGACAGCTAGATAATTATAACTTTATTTTGTATATGTAAAAATAATACACACACACACACACACACAAATTATATCACTTTTCCTCAAACCCCTTCTAGGAACAGAAGTATACCTGAGAATGGCTGAAGTGTTAGACCATTCTCCTTAGCCTCAAACTTTATGGAGAAGGCCCTGGGGCCTATACTACAGAGTTCTTTCTTCTAAAAACCAAAACCCTAAGAAGATGTTAAAACATTAAAAACAGAAATATACAAGGATAGATGGAGACTAAATTCTTCAAATCTGGGAAAACAATTTTTCTTTCCTAAGTAGACTGTAAACATATAGAAATGAATTAAAATTGCAGTTTAAAATATTATAAAATAAAATAAAATATTATAAAAAAGGGCATTTTAAAAATGTAGGTGAGATGAGCATGATGGTGCTGCATGTAATCCCCAATACTCGGGAGACTGAGGCAAGAGGATCATAAGTTTAAGACCAGCTTGGGCAACACAGCAAGACATTGTCTCAAAATAAAAATAAAATGGGCTAAAGATGTAGCTCAGTAGAGTGGTCCTGGGTTCAATTCCCAGTTTTGCCTGCGCCCCCATTTTTTTTTTTTTTTTTTTTTTAGTTTAAGACTATATTCTGAAATCAATCTAATCCACTTTTCTAAAGGTCTGTACCTTTTATCTTAGGTGGGTTAGCCATGGTCCTATTGATAAGGAATTAAGTATTTCAAAGTCTTGTCTAATGTTTCTTTACTTATGAGGAAGAAAGAGAAGAAAAGATGTCAAACTTACACTACTTCTCAGATAAGTCACTTTACCTAACTGAAACCTTTTTTCTCTTACCACAAGCCGAACCCAAGCACTCCTGAAGGGACTTCTGAAGCACAATCTGGACAATCTCTTCAAATTCTGCATTGGTAAGACTTGATTTTCCCTGCAGAGATGAGGGTAAGAAGGGAAAACTGCTTATCTTTTCATAGTTCTTTCCTCTGGCCAGTCAGGAAAGCCTCCTTTAGATGAGGCAGTTAAGTTCACAGGACTGAAGGTATGAAGTCAACATACCTAAGGAGTTCATAAACTTTATCCCAGATGTCCTGGGAATAAAGGAGTAGAAGAAAAGAGAAATGTTTATAATATTTCTGTCTACTTCTACTCCCACTCTAACCTACCTCATTCTATTATTTCATCAAATGCTTTCATCAAAATATCTTTTTGCCTCTTAGGGAAGAAAACAGAAGTTAAAAAAAATAAAAACCACAAATATAATATTGCAACTACAGGATGAAGTTCCCCAACATGAAAAGATTGTTTGTCTAGCCCCAGGGGCTGGGGGCAGAGTAGGAGGAACTTTCCTATGAGAGTTCATTAATGTGACTCATACCTTTTCCTTCTTCTCTGCTGGCTTGTCTTGAGCCTTTCCTTTTTTCTCCTGACCAACCCCTGGACCATCCTCTGTAGTTGCCTTTTCCTCCTTCTCTAACCTGGCTTTTGGTGGGCTTGCCTTGGCTTCTGCCACTGGAGAACTGATCCCCAGGGTCTCGTCTCTGTGTGAGTTGGGGCCATTCGGTATCATGCTATGCAATTTTTGTGTAGGTGGGGCAAAGGGTTTCTTTGATCCCTTCCCACATTCTGAAATTGATCAAATGGAATTTATGAAACAGTCTAACAGACATCGCTGAACACTGTCTCTTTACTAGCCACATGAGAATTATATGGGAAGAATTTTTAATAAATTCAGATTCCTAGGTCTGTCCCTGCCTGTTCCACATCACCCGCCCCCCTCAGATTATGATGAAGTAGACTGAAGTGAGGCCCAGAAATCTATAATTTTATAAGACTAGTTGATTCTGGCACAGTCCCAAATTGGTTTGGGAACCAATTCAAAGGTGATAAAAATATAGGCATATAGAAAGCTGAGTATTCAAGTGTAAATTTTTAAAAATTTGCTTAACTTTGAATAAAATTTTTTGAGAATTTAGCTTCAAAGCACTAAACTAGCCAAAAATCTACAAACTATTCAAGGGCCAATCTTATGCTACCTCATCCATGAAATTACACTGATCCTCTCAGGTATAAGTAATATCTCTTTCTTCTGAGCCTTTATAATTCTTTGCACCTCTCAGATAGCACTTACCACATTCAACTTTATGTTATAGATGTTTGAATATCTTTCTTCTCCCTATGAGTTCAGAAATCATATTTATTTCTGCTCAAAGTATCTTTCAGAGTAGAAATTTGAACAGAGTGAACAGAAAATATATATGAACTGAACTGCCCTTTGGTGCAAAGGATGTTCAGAAAGAGAAAATGAGATAAATGTATAAAGTGAACCTCCCTCATTCTTGGCTCACCTTCTTTTTTCTGCAATGTTGTCATCATTCAGCTGAGAAACACAGCTTTCTTTGCCTCTGTTAGAAAAAAGAAATGAACGATGATTCTGATCACTTTGAAAATATTCTTTTAGTTGTAGATGGACACAATACCTTTATTATTTTATTTTTATGTAGTACTGAGAAACAAACCTAGTGCCTCACACACACTTGGCAAGTACTCCACCACTGAGCTAAAACCCCAGACCCTGATTACTTTTTCCTCTCCCTGTTTTCTTGAGTTCAATATCTATTTGCTTGGGAATCTTGACTACATTTCTGCTTTTTTGACAATACTTCTCCCCAATTCAGCAGTATCAATTACATACCAAGGAATAATGAGAATTACTGTTTTAAATACGAGCAAAAATCCTTAGTATTTTTAGTACCTAGAACCATGTTTGATGTAAGGTGGGCACTCATACTAGGTAGCCATTGGAGTGGCAGTGGTGGAAGCATTAGTAGAAGTAGTGTTTGTAGGGCTGACAGTCCTGGGAGTTCAAGAGTGAGCACTTTCCTCCATTTCCTGAAGTTCCACTACATACTTAGAATACAAATAATTTGGCAATTCTCTTATGGCATAGAGAATCCCCTTTTGACATCATTGTAATGTTTGCTTTCCATTTACTTAGATCCTCAGGCCAATGTTTTCCCAAATACTGGACTCTACCCATGTTTGTTTATAGCTCAGAAATATTCATAAACAGCAGAAGTCTTCAGAGAACTGAACCTTCTATCTTACTCTTCTACTTAAAACTTAGTAATAAGAACTTTCAGAACCTTCTTTGATATTCATAGCTATTCAGCAATCTATTCAGAGGGGTTCTACACTACACCAATGTGCTTCATTCTTACTATTGTTATTGCAATTAATGATAATGGTTAACATATATTCAACACTATTTTCTTTACCTTTTATATATTATCTCATTTAATTCTCACAAATCTTAGATACCATTTTATATGTGAAGAAACTGCAGCTTACAAAAATTTAGAGATATTGAAGAATTAATAAACCATAAAACCAGAATCAGAACATGTCTGTCAAAGTTGGTGCTGTTAACTGTGCTGTGCTGAAACCCAATAGTCTAATTCAATGTTTCACCATAATTTTAACACAACATACAGAAAGCATACGTAAGAATACATGTTAAAACATATAGGCTTAAAGCATACACACCATTTTTTTTCAGTGCTGGGGATTGAACTCAAGGCTTGGAGCATGCTAGGCAAGCATTATCCCAAGGACATCCCAGCCTCCTGATTTTGGTGATTGTAACAAACAATATAACTCTAGGAGGGCTTTAGAGGCATAAAGTCTCAGCTCCTCTTTTTACAGAAGAAAAATACACAACATGAGGTAAATGGTTTGCCCAAAGTCTTAGTCTTAATACATATTAGAACTCAGACCAACCCAGACTTTTGCTTCTAAATCCTAAAAACACATCCATTCTACTTAGTGATCTTGTTTCTGGCTGTTGGTTTTGAATTTTGAAGACCCTGGAACTGACACTCAGTTCTTCTAACTACTTAATCTCCCACCACAAAGAGACATAAAGGCAACATAAAATAGACTTTTTGGTTCTTAGACACTTCTGGTTAAAGAATCTGAAGATTTTAAGATACTCAAATGCCAAACTTGTTCAAGTTAGAGTTCCATCATCTAGATCAGAAAGTGAACTCAAAAGGTATTGGGGGCTTGATTAGCATGCACTCCTCATGGCTACATGCAAAGTATTTTAAAATTATCCTTTGATATTTTTCTGTTCCTTTTCTTAATTTCATAAATGTGAACAATTCAGATATAGTTTTCTGAAGTAACTACTTTTCCCTTATATTAAGGAGCACATTTCCTCACTGTGTCCATCTTAACTCATCACCACCAATCCCCAAACATAATTTCTCCAGGGGGAAAAAAAAGGCAAGTAGAAATTTGGGGGAGAAACACTGAAGCAAATTGTTTTCTTTCTTTAATATGATCTTCAGTAAAAGCTAGAAACTTTAATAAGCTGCAAAAGGAATATCTGACCACAAATGAAAATGTGACCATAAATGACAAACATATCTTCTCCTAGACTCCAGAATTCTGAAAAATCTCATGAAAAGTACCCATGAAGATCATTTAAATTATAACAGCTGTACTGAGGGAGGAAAAGTAGAATGAAAATTAATGTTTTTAAGATGACATTTGGCTATTCAAAATGTATGTCTACATAATATGCTTGTTTATCCATAAACTGTCTCTGGAAGAATATATAAAAAATTGATCAAAATGCCTCTGAGCAGTAGATCTGGGTGGATGAGAATGAAAGGAAGCTTTTCATGATACTGCATTATTTCTGAATTTTATAACATACATATTACCAATTAAAAAATTAACTTTTAGAAAAGTCAGGGAATCTCATGAAAATCAAAGGGAAATCAGTAGAGGAAAGGGATCAAAGGAAGGAGGGGAATACTGGGAAATAATATTGGCCAAATTATACTCTTATGCCATGTGCATGTATAAATATGTAAAAAAAAATCCCATTATTATATACAACTGTAATGCACCAATGAAAAATATATTTTTATTTTAAATTCTTCAAATGTAATAAAAAGAATACTTTGACCAATGTAAAAATAAAAACTTTTCTAATATTTAGGTTCAAGTCCTTATCTAAACCTACACAGACCTTTCTAGGCCAAAGTGTTTCTGAAACTCCAAGCAACTGGATAGAATTGTATATTATTATTAAATTAACAAGACATAGCAAATCTATAAGTTGTGATGCTTAAAGGTCCCCTTAATCTAAGGAGAAATATGATGAAGACCATTACTTTTAAACAAGAGTTCTAGCCTGACCAACAGAGAAGAGAAAGCAAAGAAGTGACAACTCAAGTTTCTGCTCCTTGTTTCAGATTAATTTCCTTCTTTCTACAATAACAAATATTGAAATCTGGTTCAGAGAGAAAAAAAGAAATCATAGCTAATAAATATACAAAACATCACCAACTTTCTTCTGAACAGACTAAGGACTCTAGATCCAGGATTAGCATTTCTCTTTTTCTTACCTTAGATGAAAAGGAGATAGGGAAGGAGAGATGGAGATGACAATAAAGACACAGAGACAGTCCCAAAACCTTTACCATAGGAAGTAAAATAACCAGAAAATCCCATAAACTGTATCCCACTCACTCAACCTAAGAAAGGAGGGTAGGGGCCGGGGATTTACTTCAGTAGTAGAGCATTTGCCTAGCACTAGCAAGGGTTTAATTCCCAGCACATGGGGGACAAAAAGAGTAGAGAAGGGAAAAAGAACCAAAAGAACTTAGAACAAGATAATAAAAGAAAACCAGGTGTGGTGACATATGCCTGTAATCCCAGTGACTTGGGAGGCTGAAGCAGGAGGACCAGGAGTTCAAAGCCAATCTCAGCAACTTAGTAGAGACCCTGTCTCTGAATAATATTTTTTTAAAGGTGGGGCAACCAGGGGGCTGGGAATGTGGCTTAGTGGTTGTGCCCCAGGGTTCAATCCCAAAAAGAAAAATAAAGCACTAAAAACTCATAATTAATACTGAGATAAAATTATCCAGCCCAGGCTGCATCCTCAAAATGTAGTCCAAAATCCCTGAGGAGTTCTTTCCTTTTCCAACTAATTATTTGTGTTAAGCTGCATTTTTTTTTCACATACTATTTTTTTTTTTTTTTTACTTTGGATTGAACTTTACCACTAAGCCACATCCCCAGCCCTTTTTATCCTTTGAGACAGGATCTCCCTAAGTTGCTGAGGCTGGTTTTGAAGTTGCCAGGCTCAGCCTCCTGAGTCACGCCTGGCTTTCTCATACACTTATACCAAAACAAGATATTACAACAGATTGAAACAGATGAGAATCTGGCTGTTTTCTACTAAGCAGACATGAGGTTTGTGAAAATATAAACAATGCCACTCTTSCCACTAAAATGTCTTCTGTTTAGGAAAATACATTTTTCCCAAAATACTATATAGCGAGTTTATGAGTTATTTCTAAGTAAATATTTTACATATTTCAGAGTTTTAATGTCTAATATGTTAACATCAATAGACACAAACCACATAAAAAACTCTTTGGAGCCCTCCATAAATTGAGAACAAAAGAATTCTCCTATCAAAAAGTTAAAGATCTTACCTAGTAAAATAATTTAGTCTTGGCAATATTTAAAAAAAGTTAATTCCGCCTTTTAAGATTCCCTCTTCATATTGTTCCTCCAGTCGTTAGTCTAAGAAAAGCAAATCCTTTAGAATTGTACTTTACCATGGACTCTGTGAGCCTCAGAACTTATTTAAAGGCTGTAAAGTCTCAGAGTCTGAGCTCCCCTGGGCATCACTGTCTAGCAGCACGTGGTTCGCGCTCATTCCCCAGCCGTGAACTGCAGCAGGGTCCATTCTGGGCGTAGGTGGGCTCGGGCGCATGCGCGCTCCACAAACCTGATTTTTCAGCTTTTTCACAAGATGAAAAGTCGTTTCCAGGAACCCTTATGCCCACACCAAGTTATTTACCCTCAGAAGCAACTACCCGAACTAAACTTCTCACAGCTTATCAATAAATTCACCGTAAACTACAGCTTCTTAGTTCAGAGGGTACAAAGAAGCGGGGTCGGCCGCTTCTCTAGCGCGATGGCTGGTGGCCCTCACGTTCCTGCTGTGGGACACCCCTCCCCAGCAGCCGTAAACCCCCGAACAGGGCTTTTGGGTGGCTTTCGCTTAAAGAAGCACGTCCCCTGTGACCTCCCAGGCGCCGCGCCACCTCCCCTCAAAGGGCGCGAGGTCGAGCCTGACTGCGGACGAGCTTCCATTTTCCCTTTCCCCTCACCAGTTCTTAGGGACAGAGCCAAAGGTTCTCGACTCCCCTGAGGGGGGACCGGCGACTAGCCGGTCCCCTCCCAACCAAGACTCCCCCAGGGGCCGGTGTCCCCGGGGGCCCCTCCCACCCAGGCCTGGGAGCCTCGCTCTACGGCATACCGCCGGTGCCCGCCACAGGACTGGTCATTTTCGCCTGTTGGGGGTGAGCTGGAGTTTCAGAGGTTCTGAGGAGAAGGGGCAAGAGTTGGTCATCGCCCTGAAGAGAAACCTTCTCCTCAGACACAGGTGCCAAAACTGGCAGCACCTAGCACCTTCATCTACAACTGGAGAGGAGCCAGCTACCTTCTGGGTCGAGGAAGACCTGAAGGTGATAAGCACAGCGTGCCGCAGCCGTGACTCTGCAAGCCCCTACAACCTGGACCTACTTTTTTCCCGCCAAGAGGAGAAGGCGCGAGGACGTGCACAAGCTCCGCCCCCTAAGGGGAGCGCTCAAGACCACAGCACATGCGCAGTTGGAAGTTGCAGCTGCTGCTGAGCGGCCATCTTCCAAACGAAGACCCTAAACTACAAATCCCATAATCCTCGTCGACTTCACTTTTTAAAATAGGCGGCAGCAACAGTGCCTGAGTGTTCTGAAGCACATTTACCAACTCATCTCTTTGCCACACACTGCTTCTTCCGTCAGCTTTTCACACTTATTCTCCCTTCCAGTCTCCGCACTCTTTAATTTTGAGACTATCCTGGGCCTCCATTCCCACTTATACCATCCACTTCTAAAACTGTTGAAAGGGAGACCGGGACATTCATCACCAGGGGAAAACGGCGTCGAATCGCGGTTTCCCAAGGGCTGGGGCAAGGGACCCAAGATGGGCTGAATCCATTTCCCTGCCCACGCTCGCTTTGATACAAGGCGGTGAGAAGTCGCAGGGTGCCCCCGGAGGGCCCGCGTGCGAGCCGTCCGCGGGCCCGGAGGCCTCGAGCGCAGGCGCCGGGTGGTGGGCGGAGGCGTTGGGGTCAGTACGTGGATGTGGAGGCGGAGAGTAAGGCGTGGTGTTTTGTGGTGATCGTGATTGGAGAAAGGCAAATGAGCGAGCCTTTTCGGGGAAAGTTGGGACAACCTTGGCTGTTTCCGTTGTCTTTTTTTTTTTTTTTCAGAGAATACTTCCAAGGGGGGGTGAGATAAAATGACATAATCGCACTTTGCTGAGAACAGTTCCTAAGAATACGGTCAGTACACTCCACTTCTCCCCAGTCTCTACTTCATGTTTTCCCTTCTACTCCCTCCGAAGCCCTACTAAGTAGGTGGGCTGAAGGGAGGTGTGCGATCGCCTCATGAATAATTCATGAACACGCCTCCTTTACTGGGAAAACCACGCCCCTCGGATTCGTGCTGACGCACGCTGCGTATACCAAACCTGAGGAAGCGACGTAATAGTTCCCGCCCCCAGGACTGAAGGCGGGGCATCATCTCCAGCACGTGCTGCAGCTACCCGCGCAAGCCCAAAAGGGTGTGCGCAGGCGCTACCCACTAGGGGGAGGAAGGAGGCGGGGTAGGGAGGTTGTCGGGTTTAGAGCCGGGCGGAGACCGCTGAGACTCATTCCTCAGGAACAAGGGTCGAGTGTCAAGGAGACCTTTTCACACCAGCTCCCCCGCCTACAGAGGGGGGGATCGCGCTGCAGAGACAAAGGATATCAGTAGGGCCGGACATAGCTACGAAGGGAAGTAGAGTGCCCGTTTGGGGTGGGGGGCTTCTGGGGGGCTTGGGGGGGCTATATTTAAACTCCCGGAGCCGTTAAGTTGGTTCGTACTCTGATGCGCGCGCAGCCAGGGCGGTGGCGAAGTGCGCATGCGTGGTTCCGGAGGGAGAGGAACGCGCGCCAGCCGTGCGCGCTCGCGGCCGAGTGGTTGTGGCGGTGGAGAAAGGGGTCGGCGCACGCGCTGTTGATTTCTCGGGTTGTCTCGGTCTCGCGGGCATCTTGTTTTGGTCTCGCGGGCGAGTGGGGAGCGCTTCGGGGGGAGGCGCCTGGGCTCAAGGCGAGCAGAGCAGAGCTGCGCGCGCATTCGGGAAAGGGGGGAAGGGAGTAGGGGCCAGGAAGGGGGGGTTAAGCCCCCTGATCCCCCTCGGTACCCTCGACTGGGACGGCATAAGGGGAGGAAATGATCGAGATGGCGGCGGAGAAGGAGCCGTTTCTGGTGCCGGCCCCGCCACCGCCGCTCAAAGATGAGTCGGGCGGAGGGGGCGGCCCCGCGGTGCAGCCGCACCGAGAGGCCGCCTCCGGGGAGCTCCGCGGAAGGACGGAGCGCGGGCCTGGACGGAGCGCACACTCGGCAGGGGCCACGGCCAGCCCCCGGGGTGGCCAGGGGCAGCAGCACCGAGGGGGCGGCCCCCAGGCGCAATCGCACGGGGAGGCCCCCTTGTCCGATCCCCCAGGGCGAGCGGCTCCCCCGGACGTGGGGGAGGAGCGCCGGGGAGGGGGCGGGACGGAACTGGGCCCCCCTGCCCCTCCACGGCCCCGCAATGGCTACCAGCCCCACCGGGCCCCTGGGGGGGGAGGGGGCAAGAGGAGAAATAGCTGTAATGTTGGGGGAGGCGGTGGAGGCTTTAAACATCCGGCCTTCAAGAGGCGCCGGCGGGTGAATTCGGACTGTGACTCTGTGTTACCCTCCAACTTCCTCCTGGGGGGCAATATCTTTGATCCCCTGAACCTGAATAGCCTCCTGGATGAGGAAGTGAGTCGCGCACTCAATGCGGAGACCCCTAAGTCATCCCCACTTCCGGCTAAGGGGCGAGATCCAGTGGAGATCCTCATCCCCAAAGATATCACTGACCCGCTCAGTCTCAATACTTGCACTGATGAGGCCCAAGTAGTTCTCGCTTCACCACTCAAGACTGGTCGCAAGCGGCATAGGCACCGGGGACAGCACCACCAGCAGCAGCAGGCATCTGGAGGGAACGATAGCCATGCCATGCTGCCCACAGCCCCCCTCACCCCCTCACTTCACGGGGAGGGTGCCACACAGCAGCAGCGGCACAGGGGCCAGAACCGGGATGCCCCCCAACCCTATGAACTCAACACAGCCATCAACTGCAGGGATGAGGTCGTGTCTCCCCTTCCATCTGCCCTGCAAGGTCCCTCAGGCTCCCTTTCAGCCCCTCCAACTGCCTCAGTTACCTCTGCACCCTCGTCTTCCTCCTCCCGACATCGCAAACGTCGCAGGACTTCCAGCAAGTCGGAGGCAGGGGCTAGGGGTGGAGGCCAGGGTTCCAAGGAAAAGGGCCGAGGGAGTGGGGGAGGTCGTCATCATCACCACCCGCTACCTGCAGCAGGCTTCAAAAAGCAACACCGCAAGTTCCAGTATGGAAATTATAGCAAGTACTATGGGTACCGCAATCCTTCCTGTGAGGATGGGCGCCTTCGGGTTTTGAAGCCTGAGTGGTTTCGCGGCCGGGACGTCCTAGATCTGGGCTGCAATGTGGGCCATCTGACCCTGAGCATTGCCTGCAAGTGGGGTCCATCCCGCATGGTGGGGCTGGATATCGATGCCCGGCTCATCCACTCAGCCCGACAAAATATCCGACACTACCTGTCTGAGGAACTACGGCTCCCACCCCAGACTTCTGAGGGGGACCCAGGGGCAGAGGGTGAGGAAGGGACTGCCACTGTTCGGAAAAGGAGCTGTTTCCCAGCCTCACTGACAGCCAGCCGGGGTCCCATTGCTGCACCCCAACTGCCCTTGGATGGAGCGGACACATCTGTCTTCCCCAACAATGTTGTCTTCGTCAGGGTAAGAGGGTCCTGGGGGTCTTGGAATAGGGATGGGATGTTTAAGTGAAGTTTAATGGGAATGTGGCAGTGGAAGGTTATGACCCAGAGGTATTTTCCTGCATCTTACTCCTAAGAACCAGTTCCTCAAGAGATGGGTCTGGATTGGTAAGTGAGACTAATACTAGTGGTCTTCTCTCTCCTCCTGTAATGGAAAGCTAGGGTCTCTACCTTGGGGCTTTAACCCTGGGGTCATTTCTCATGACTGTTGGGATCTCTTCCCCAACATAAGGGCTTACCCCTGTTGGGCTGTTCCCAGACTAGACTGTCAGGCCATTCCACCTTCCCTCTAGGGCAGCTATTGCCACTCATTAAAGGATTCACTCCAGATGGAACCTTGTTCTTAAACTTGCTGAGGGAGCATGAGGGTTTTTTCCAAAAGGGAATTTCTTGGAGGAACACTAGCAGTGAGAGACATTTGTAGTTTCTGACCGTTTATGGGGATCTTGTTTGCATCAGCTTCTTTTGTTTTCTTAGATATAGACTTCATTGACAAGTCAGTGGTTGGAAACCCAAGAGATTTGGCCTTAGATCTCCACATTGACCCTAGGTAGTTGGGGGGGATGGGGGGAACAGCCAGAGACATCTTCGCAAGGCAGGGGAGAATACTGAGCCTGGCAGGGCATCTGGCCTCTGACTATACATAGCTCCCCACAAAACAGTACAGTTAGGCCATCTACAGGAATGTTTGCCAACATACTGGGGTAGGTGAGAGAACTTTCTAGGGGATGGTGAGGAGCTTATGTTAGGTTTCCTAGGAGGTATGGCTCTTGATTTGTCTCAGAGCAAGGATAAAACAGGCCTGACATTTTGCCAACCCCAACTCAGGGAAGGACTCATGGGTCTTCTTTTGATACCTGGGTTGGGTCCTTTTGCATATTTGTAGGTGGGAATAAACAGATTCTGGAGAGCAGCTGCATTTTGACCCCATCTGGGAAGATCTCGTGGATAATGTGCTCAGTTTAAAATTAACCAAGCTTCCTTTCAAGCTTGTTTTTATTTACCACCAGTAGGAAGCAGAGGCAGGAAGATGTAAAGAGAAAATGAGACTGAAAGGAGGACACCATTGGAACGTAGTGTAAGAAGTGTCAGAGACGAGTGTAACCATAGTGTGAAGAAAATAGGACTTTTCTAAAGTCTGAAGAGCAATTGTGAGGGCCAGTGGTGATTCTTTTACCTCTGTAGACTTCACCCGCAATTCTTGCCCTCAGGGTAACTATGTGCTGGATCGAGATGAGCTAGTGGAGGCCCAAAAACCTGAGTATGATGTGGTGCTCTGCCTCAGCCTCACCAAGTGGGTGCATCTGAACTGGGGAGATGAGGGACTGAAGCGCATGTTCCGTCGAATCTACAGGCACCTACGCCCAGGGGGCATCCTGGTCCTGGAGCCCCAACCATGGTCATCCTATGGCAAGAGAAAGACTCTTACAGTAAGTTGGGTTTCTGTGGAAATGGGAAATAATCTTTTGGTTGAGGCAAAAAAAAGGTCTCAAGGAAGCAGAAAGATTTGAGTGACAGGAGAAGGTCCCTGGGTGAGCATCATTCTTGGCTAGGGGGAGGAGGCAGCAAGCAGAGGTATTATCTCCTGCCTTTCTTCCCAGGAAACAATCTATAAGAACTACTTTCGAATCCAACTGAAGCCAGAACAGTTCAGCTCCTATCTGATGTCCCCAGAGGTGGGCTTCTCCAGCTATGAGCTCGTGGCCACACCCCACAACACCTCCAAAGGTAAGGTTGGTTCTTTGAGTTGGGGAAGGCTGGTCCTGGCTGAAAGGGTGCAGAACCAATGGAGAGTTCTAAGATACTGCCAACCTGCTTCCTGACTTCATACTCTTCCACTTAGGCTTCCAGCGTCCTGTGTACCTGTTCCACAAGGCCCGATCCCCCAGCCACTAAGTGGCCCCTGAACTGAAAGTGCGAAGAGGCTGCCCTTGCTGCTCCTAAGGACCTGGGGAAAGAGGAAAGCATCCCAAGGTTTTTCCTTTCTGACTCCAAAAATAGTTTCCTTTCTTGGATCTGCAAAGAATACTTAAGTTGCTGCCCTGGCCTCCTCCCTATACCTCTGGCACCTGAGCAGCAAGCCCAGCTGTGCTGGAGTTACCATCATCTTCTCCACTAGCCTGCTGGGCTGGATGGCTTGGACTGTTTGCTGAACTCTGTTCTAGGGCATGGGAAGTGGGGAATGTCAAATCCTCATAGCCCTTTCCTCCTGCTCTCGATTCCCGTTTCTCCTCAGCCCTTGCCCCTAGCTGCATTTCAGTGAACCATGAATAGATGGACTGAGGTTTAAAAGGGGGAAGTTTGGCAGGGAGGCACACAGGTACTGTGAAAATCCTTCCTTCTGCTGTCCCCCAGTGGGAGTGGGGGCTGGGTTTGGAATGTGAGAACAGCACAATAAACTTAATGTCTAGGGCAGTGGCCCCCCCACACACACACCTGGTTGTGGCTCTTTCTAGCTGGGGAAGGGATGGCATCTCCTGTCAAACCAGTTCCTACCATAGGATCTCAAAGAGAATTTTTTTAATGGTTGGGAAGATTGCTGGGTGCTAATCACATCTACACTTCATTTCACAGAACCCTGGTCACAAAAGGAGTGTGACACAAATTTTGATGTGCAACTTTGAGTCTGACTAACCCCAAAAACCTTGTTGAAAAATATTTTTGTGGGAACCTTGGGCAGAAGGCTAATTTTGGAGGTCTTAACAGAGGGCACTTTGGCCAAAGACACTTTTTTTTTTCTTTTTCTGTGGCTTCACACTTAGGCAAAAGCAATTAACATGAAGCTCTTCAGTGGTCTGTCAAGGGTTACTGGCGTCCTGAACATTGATTCCTGAACATTGATTCAACAAATACTGAAAATTCTGGGGTTGAGTGTAAATAAGATGGGCAAGGCCCTTAAAGATGAAAGCAAGCTTTGCAGATACCTTCAGACAGGTAATGAGGGAAGGCCTCCATAAACTGCAATAGGCCAAGACCCACATGTGTACCTTTTATCTACTCATGGGTAATTTGGAAGTTTTAAAAGCTTTTGTAGGGGCTGCTGTTGAGGATTGAACCCCAAGACCTATGAATGCTAAGCACACACTTTACCACTGATCTATACCTACCCTAGTAGTGCAAAGGTGGTGGCTGTGACTGAAGGGGAAAGGTAGGCAGGGGATGGGGATCTAATCCCTGATTGGGAACTTTCCTAAAAGGACCAAAAACTCACTTCCAGGCAGCTTCCAACATGCACCCCAGGTGGAAGACCCCTGGAGGGGTTTTAGTCCTTTCCTGGCTCCCAAGAAGAGTTACATTTATTAGCAAAACCACTTTATTCTGAAAAAAAATTTTTAACCTACAGAAATATGAACTAGCAATCCAGGGAGCTTTGGGGTCTAAGCTTCCCACCGTCGCAGTGTCCGATGCATGAGAAAGGTGTCCTCTGAAGGGCGGGGCCGGGGCTGAAGCCGTAGAGGGGGCAGTCCGTCCACGGTCAAGTGCGGAGATTCATAAAACAATGTGCCCGGGTCGCACAGGATGGTCATGTCCGGTCCCGGCCCTGGTGGCTCCTGTTGGAGTCGGGGCCAAAGCAAGGTTACAGGCTGGGAAGAAGGAAAATCCGCGAGGACAGGAGACCCAAGGTCAAGTCCAAGCCCCGGTCCCTTCACCTTTGGGGGCGGGGCTCGGGCCTGCGGCGGCAGGAGCGCCAATTTCTCCCTGAGTGCAGCATTGAGAACCTGTTCCTCCGGCACCTGCAAGCTCACCAGGTCCCGGAAGAGCCGCTTGGAGCGCGGCACGTTCAATCCTGATAGCGCAGAGGGGGTTGGGGTGAGTGACGCCCCTCACTCAGACTCCCGCGCCCGACCAGCCGCTCGCCCAGCTCACCCTCGGCCACACTGTCCTCCAGGCCGCAGCGGATCTGGAAAGACTTTCTCAGATGCTCTTCCACGGCTTTCGTGGCATCAAACTGGCCCATGGATGCGGCCCGCGCGGCCTGCAGCTCGAGGCTCAGGGCCATGCTACTCTGCCGCGCGGGCGCCTCCAGCTCCTGCGGCGCCGCGGGCTTGTCGCTAGGTGCAGCGGCCGCGGGCAGCGGCTCGGGCCGGACGGGTGAGGGAGGCGCCAGGTGGAAACGGACCTGGAGCAGAGAGCAGCACCGTGAAGAGACATGCTCTTGGCCGTCGGCAGGATGGGGGGCCAGGCTTCCCCCCAGCTCACCTGCCGCCCTCTCCGAGCCCCACCCCGGCGCTCCGCCCGCCCCTTCCGCCGCCCCGGACTGCAGTTCCGCGGCTCGGGGCTCTCGGGCCGCGGGCTCAGACTCAGATCCAGGCCCGGCTCGGGCACTGGAGCTCGGGGTTCCTGGGCGCGTGGTTCTGGGGGTGGTCCCGGGGACTCCACGGCCTCTTCCCCTTCCACGAACTTCAGCTCTGATTCCCCGCAGCCCCTCATCTTAGAGTTGGTGCAGGGTCGCAGCACACCTTCGCCTCCTCCTCCTCTTCTCCCCCACCCCTCACAGACGCCGCTGCAGGAAACCGTTAGCCCTTACCCACGAGGGCGGGGACAACACCCACCCACCCCGCCTATTGGCGTTCTTACGGTGTCAGTTCCTTTGCTCCGCCCCCAGCCTCCGGGCGGACTTCCGCCCGCAGAGTCTGGCACCGCCTCTTAGGCCCGGGAGAGAGCCGAAGACCAGGAAGCCCTACGAGTGCTCAGCAGGACCACTTCTTTTGAAAACTCGGATTTGACGATCCGACCTGTGTGGCTCTTCTCCCGGCTTGTGTTGTGGTCCCGAGTGTGTCCGTCCTCTCTTTGGGACGCCAAGAGGGGAAACCTTAACTAAACCGCCCAGTGTCCACGCATCTAGTCCTCCCCCTTCTGTGCCTCCACCGCATCCCCCGGTTCCGTCACCTCGGAACGCAGACCTTTGCTTCCCTGGGCCACTCCACGAGAGCGGAGGCTCTCGTGGGCCCCAGCCCAGGCTCCCGCTAGGCACTTAGCCGTTCTGCAGCGTTTTGTGACTTAGTTTTTCCTTCGAGGGTTACCTGAAATATTGACTGGCATAAAATAGATATCTGCATGCTCTGTACTTTTTTTTTTTTTTAACTTTTGTATTTAACGCTCTGTACTTTTTTTTTTTTTTTTTAACTTTTGTATTTAACCCGGCTCCACTCTTGTCCAGGCTGGGGAAGACCGGTGGACCGCGGGAGGTTGGAGCGCCCGCCTGCTCCGACGTTCCCTGGTGCAGGTCCCCTCAATTCTGTGAGTCTCCGTTTATTCTTGTGTAAAATGTGTAGATTGGGCTCGAGACTCTTGAGGCTTTCTCGGAGGAGACCCATGACCTGTCAATAGGCATGTTTGCGTACAAGCATGTTGAGAGTTTCACATTGTTTATCTTCCCAGGAAATGCTATGGGAAATCAAATAGAAGGGATAGCGTAGCCCACATTTTACACGCACACACACACCCACACACGCACACACACGAAAGAAAGAAAAGGAATTTAAAGGAGGATCTCAATGGTGAAACTAAAGCCTTTCCTGTTGAAGTCAGGACTAAGGTTTACTGGATTGTTAAAGGGAATAGGGCAATCTAAATATAAATAAACGGTGAAGTATAGATTATTTAAATGGTGGCCTGGGGAAAGAAAGACCAGAGTGAAAGGAAAAGAGTCTAAAAGTCTCTGAATATACTTTGTTTAATATATATGAATTTGGAAATATATTTTTACATTATTATTATTATTATTTGAAAATAAATCTCTAAAAATTGAAAGTGAAATGTGTGTCAGATGTCTTTAGAAATGACTTTAAACAGTAATTTGGGGTCTGAGAATATAGGTCAGTTGTAGAGTTCATGCAATCTGAATTTAATCTCCAGCATGACCAAAACAGAAAACAAACAAAAAACTAATTTATACATCCCCATCTCCTAGAGAACCAAAGCAACTGACATTTTTAAACTGCCATAAAATCTTAAACCATTTTTAGTAATCTTGTTGGAAGATGTGAAAATATGTAGGATAAAACAATAGTGTCCATTTTGGAATGGACAAACTGGAATTTTGGTGTAGGAGATGCAAAATCAGTGAATGATAATACACAAAATCTGTGCAGTCTTGAATTTAGATAAGAAGTATCTGTATGAATTCATGGTATATTTTGCCTTAATTTTAAATCTATATCCTAATTCTGTTCATTAAAAAGCCCTCAAAAACAATGACAGATTCAGTGAGCACTCCTAGCTCCCAAAATGTGAATTTGAATTTCACATCACTAAGCATTTGAAAATCTGTGCACAAATGTTCATAGCAGCTTTATTCATAATAGCCAAAAACTGGGAACAACCTACATGTCTTTTAGCAAATAAAGAGTTAAGCTATGGTATATTCATACAATAGAATAGTAATCAGCCAAAATAGGGAACAAATTATTGACATGAAAAGTGCTGATCCCCAAAAGTGACATGTTGTCTGATTCCATTTATACAGCATTTTAGAAATGATGAAAGTTTGGAAATAGAAAACATTTAGTGACCATGTGGACATGGTGCTGGGAGGAGGTGGTTGTGGTGACAGAAGGGCAACATCAGGGATCCTTTGGTATTGAGAAGCTCATGGTCTTTGGTGGTAGATCCAGGAACATAGATGATGAAATTCATATACAAACATGATTGAGCACAAAACGGGGAAATGTAAATAAGACTGGTAGATTGTATGGATGTCACTATTCTGATTGTGATAATATAGTTTTGCAAGCTGTTCCCATTGGGTTGGCAGTGGCAGAGCATTTGCCTAGCAACTGTGAAGCCCTGCGTTCAATCGAGATACCAAAAAAAAAAAAAAATTAAAAACTAAAAACATAAATTACCATTAGGAAAACTGGAGAAAATATACAAGGGATCTGTCTGTATTATTTCTTAACAATTATATGTGAATCAAAATTTATCTCAATCATGTTCTTATTAAAAATTATGTTGGAGTTGAGAACAATGCTTGAAGATATATAAATGAAAAAAAAAAGATTAGCCAAATGTTGATGATTGCTGAAGCTAGCTAATGGGTATAAGGCATTTCTTTTGTTTGCAGGAATTATTTTGTTATATCAGGATTGAGGATTAAATCTCCAGTTTCCCACATGCAAAGCAAGCGCTGTACCACTGAGCTACATCAATCCCCAGCACCAAAATGAGAGAAAATTATAAATATGCCCCAGGTGTCCCAGGAACTATTACACACACACACACACACACACACACACACACACACACTAAAAAAGAAGAAAAAAGTTTCCCTGATCCAAAGAGAGGAAGCCCTGCCAAAGCTCTTACCAACCAGCCCTTCCTCCATTCGCCAGTCTGAGGATTTTCTACCTCTGCATTATGTCCCATCCAGGGCATGGAAGGGAGAGGTAAGAGGGAAAGAGAAGATTCCCCAGAAGGAAGTCCTACTTAAGACTTTAGGTTATCTTGGGTTAGAACCCACCAGAGAGAGATGTTCTAGGTCATCTGAGGCTGCTAGAAGACATTCCCAAAACTAGATATGGGTTTGGAGAAGGTGAGTCTGGGTGCTAGAAGGGGTAATTCAGCATTATCCCAGGCTTCCTGCTGAACCAGACACTACAGGTGGGCTACGTAAAACAGGAGACCGTCAGGGTCAGAGGTCCTGCCCTGGGTGTGGAGGCCTCCATTACACAGCTGTGGTGTGGCTGAGGCTGGTGCAAAGGGCAGATGAGAAGACCTGCTGGGGTAGGGGATGAGGGTGGGAAGAACAAGGGTTCCATTCAGGAAGGTGCCCCCAGTAGGGCCAAGACAGGTCAAAGACACCCTCTGCCAACTCTTACCTGCGAGCGATACTCATCTCCTGTTTCCTACTCACAAATTGGCTCCTGGCTCTGGGTGGGGGCCAAGGCAGAAACACTCCCATAGGAAAGTGTGTCCCTATTACACTGTGAGTGGCCCATCCCCAAACACACACATCCAACTCCAGAGTGCTTGTTCCCATCCTACCCAATCGCAGGTACCTCAGCCTAAAGCCATCACACCCCACCATACCTACTCCTTTCTCCCAACCCAGAGGAACAGACAGACTGGAATCTAGGGACTGGGGTGATCTATAACCACAGGCCAACACACTGTAGCACAGGCCCCTATGGCAGCAGAACAGGAAGAGGAGGGCCAAGGTGGGACCTGTTAGGGTAAGTCTCCAGGGACATAGCATGAGGCCATTCACTGGAATGGAGAGTTGGAGGGAGGGAACTTCATTTGAAAGAAGTTGTCCATGGTCTGGACAGAGTGGAGAAAAAGGAAAATTGGATGAAGCCAGAAAAGAGAAGCAGGTTTTGAGGTTGGGGTGCAGGTGGAGATTATAATGGAGCAGGACTTGGAAAGGCACAGAGCGCTGGAGGGTGTCCTGCGCTTGCTAGAGAGGGGATGTCCTTGATATCAACACAGAATAGGTTGATCAATGCCAGTTTTTGTTTGTTCAGTGTTTGTTTTTGGCATTGGGGATTGAACCCAGAGGCACTTTACCACTGAGTCATATCCCTAGCCCTGCTTATTTTTTATTTTGAAGCACGATCTCACTAAATTGCTGAGGGCCTTACAAAGATGCTAAGGCTAGCCTCAAATCTTCAGTCCTCCCAAATTGCTGGGAATCTAGGCATGTGCCACTGTGCCAGGCATTTGACACTTATTGGTTGGAGCCTAAAAGAGCCCAAGGAAAGACTGGTCAAAGACCACTGGAACTATAAGAAAGCAGGCAGAGGCCATGTGAAAGGTGGCAGAGTCAAAGGTATAAAAGATGAGGCTATAATCCAAGAAAATGGAGTACTGGGGTAAAGGCTCTTGAGACCATCCCTAGGGAGCCAGCTTGTCATGGTGACAACACCCTACGTGAAGAGGATTTATATTTAGTCTGTGGAGCATTTTAACCCTTAGAACTCACCAGGTGAGCCAGATACAGTTGTATACAACTATAATCCCAGCTACTCAGGAGGCTGAGACAAGGGGATTGCAAGTTCAAAGACAGCCTTGGTAATTAGTGAGACCCTGTCTCAAAATAAAAAGGCCAGGGATGAAGCTCAGTAGTAGAGCACTTGCTTAGCATGTGCGAGGTCCTGGGTTTCATCTCCAGTAACACACACACATACACACACACACACACTCACTCATTCACCAAGTGTCTCGTGAAAGATGTTTTATCATCTCCTTATTGTACAGATGAAGAAAATGATGCTTAGAGAGATTGTCTAACTCCCACCCACTGTAAGGAAGGGGACGCAGGATGTATAACCAGACTGAAGGCCCTAAGCCCAATTCTCTCCATGCAACTATACTGCCTCTCCCAGAAAGTTTAAGAACTTTATGCATCCATCCCCCATGCCCCATTTGGCACTCATGGCTATGAGCATCCTCATCTTAGTTCTCAGAGACTGTTCCCTACTGGTCTGCTCTTTGGATTCAGCCCGATTGACAGGACCAGCCCCAGGACCTTACTGAGCTACAATTGGGAAGTAATGCAGGAGGTGTGTTAAGGAGCA